AAAAAAAAGATGGGGGTTCGTGTGTCAGAATTAGTGAGACTGGCTCAGGACAGGGCAGGGTTCAGAGCTGCTGTACATTGAGCCGCTATGGGTCACAGGCGACTCAACGGCACGTAACACCAGCAAATTTTGTTTTCAGTGACAGTTTACACAGCAAAGTAGGTTCTCACTGAACAGTTTGTGTCCAAGTTGTTTGATGGCATTAATTTCACTTTTGACAATGTGTCCATCTGTGCTCCAGTGTAAGTTTAGACTAAACCTAGAGGAGGTTAAGTTCCCGAATCCAGGGTGTTTACATGTGTTTCAGCCACGTCCGGTGCCACCGCGTCCTCGGAAGTCTTAGTGCAGGGCCGCAGTCGGCTCTGTGGTGTGTGACTTGGTTTATGTGGAGGGTCTGGAGGGTGGGACGGAGAGCTGAGAACCTAGCGGGGCGTCAGGCTGTTGTGGGGACGCGTCACCCTGTGCTTCACAGCTCCCATCTCTGGTGGGTAAATGCTCTTTGTTTTGAACCTTCTCATTTAGGTCACAGCAGTTGCACAACAGAATCAAGGCGAGGTCCCCGAACCCCAGGACATGAAAGTAGCAGAAGTTCTGTTTGACGCTGCCGACGCAAACGCCATTGAGGAGGTCAACCTTGCTTACGAGAACGTCAAGGAAGTGGACGGGCTGGATGTGTCCAAAGAAGGGACCGAGGCCTGGGAGGCAGCGATGAAGCGATATGACGAGAGGATTGACCGGGTGGAGACCCGCATCACCGCCCGTCTCCGAGACCAGCTCGGCACTGCCAAGAACGCCAACGAGATGTTCCGCATCTTCTCCAGGTTCAACGCGCTGTTCGTCAGGCCCCACATCCGCGGGGCCATCCGGGAGTACCAGACCCAGCTGATCCAGCGCGTGAAGGACGACATCGGCTCCCTGCACGACAAGTTCAAGGTGCAGTACCCACAGAGCCAGGCCTGCAAGATGAGCCACGTGCGCGACCTGCCGCCCGTGTCGGGCTCTATCATCTGGGCCAAGCAGATCGACAGGCAGCTGACCGCCTACATGAAGCGTGTGGAGGACGTGCTGGGCAAAGGCTGGGAGAACCACGTGGAGGGGCAGAAGCTGAAACAGGACGGGGACAGCTTCCGCATGAAGCTCAACACCCAGGAGATCTTCGACGACTGGGCCAAGAAGGTGCAGCAGCGCAACCTGGGCGTCACGGGGCGCATCTTCACCATCGAGAGCACGCGCGTCCGAGGCCGCACCGGGAACGTCCTCAAGCTGAAGGTGAACTTTCTGCCCGAGATCATCACGCTCTCCAAAGAAGTCCGCAACCTCAAGTGGCTGGGCTTCCGCGTGCCCCTGGCCATTGTCAACAAGGCCCACCAAGCAAACCAGCTGTACCCCTTCGCCATCTCGCTGATCGAGAGCGTGCGCACGTACGAGCGCACCTGTGAGAAGGTGGAGGAGCGCAACACCATCTCGCTGCTGGTGGCGGGCCTCAAGAAGGAGGTGCAGGCGCTCATTGCCGAGGGGGTCGCCCTCCTCTGGGAGTCCTACAAGCTCGACCCCTACGTGCAGCGCCTGGCGGAGACCGTCTTCAACTTCCAGGAGAAGGTGGGTGCCCACCGGGACCTCAGGCCCCGCGGTGTGGGTGCAGCGTGTGCCCCCATGTCAGTTTTCACCCTGGGTGACTGCGGGGGGTTGAGTGGCTGGTGCTCCCCAGGGTTTCAGCAGCTGCGTTTTTGGAAGCAGGTCTCAGACCTTTCTTCTAGAGTGTCTCTGGGTGGCCTTGAACCTCCAACCTTGTAGTTGTACCCTTTGCACCACAGGGATTTTGACTTGACTACTCAAGCCAAGCTACTGCCGTCAAGTTGACTACAACTCGCAGTGGCCCTGCAGGGCAGAGTCGTTGTTCTGTGCTGTTGAGTCAGAGTTGACCCCCGCTGTCCTTCCAGCGTGTCTGTAGATCGTATGGACAGAGATTGTCCTTTGTGCCTCAGAACAGCTGTTGGTTTTGAACCGTGTCCTTTTGGGCTGAGAGTGCCACTCCTAACCACTAGGCCACCAGCACGCCAGAGTCGTGTGCTGTTGATTTGGAAATGACTCGTTGCTGCCATAGTGACATAGAGGGTTTTCAGAGGCAGTTAATCAGTCACACAGGAGGGGATTGCCCACCCGCCAGGTTTGGCATCTCCTGCAGTTAGAGGAGATGAATGATGCACAGACTCACGGGGCTGGAGTCCTTAGAGAGCTGTGGTAGTGCCCGAGCGGATACGGATGCAGCCCCACACCCAGCCGTGGAACTCTCAGCCCGGCTGCCCCAGGCCGCGATCCGCAGTCACCAGGGCATAGCTGGCCCCTGAGCAGCCCGAATGAGCAGAACCGAGCACTCACACCGGTGCCCAGGCCAGCTCTGCAGGCAGGACGCTCCCCAGAGGCTACCTCAGCAGTGGAGGAAGGGGAGAATCCTTGAGGTAACTGGGGATGAACAGCCTCTCTGAAGGCTTGCCCGCTTGTCCAGGACTTGGTGTCTGGAGGTGGAGGTGGGTGGCGCGCAGGTCCATGAAACGCTCTGCCTGCCCGTAGGTGGACGACCTGCTGATCATTGAAGAGAAGATCGACCTCGAGGTCCGCTCGCTGGAGACATGCATGTACGATCACAAGACTTTCTCCGAGATCTTGAACAGAGTCCAGAAAGCCGTGGACGACTTGAACCTGCACTCCTACTCCAACCTGCCCATCTGGGTCAACAAGCTGGACATGGAGGTAGGGCTGCGGCTGGCGAGGTGTGTGGCTGGAACAAGGTGCACGCTGTCTGTGGGTTTGGTAGATTGTCACTGAGAAGCAACGGGCTCGTCCCCTCCAGAAGCCCCACCACATCAGGGACACTGGGTGGTGGTGCCAACAGCTCTGCCTCCAATCTGAGGCCTGGCAGCGGGGAGCTGTGTGTGGGGCCCATGTCCTTTGTGTTCTTAGTATTTGGCAACTTGCTGTGTGCCCTTCCCGTTTGTCTCACCCCTGAGGTGGCTGACCTTCTCCCCAGCCTCCCAGGCTTCCTTCTCCGCCAGCTTAGCAGTAAAGCACTTCTTGTAGAGGTGCAGTGGTCCCAGCTAGGTCTCGGGGTGTGAGTATTGACCTGGGCCGTGGTCTCTGGATGGAGGCCTCTGAGGCTCAGGGGGTGTATGTGGGTGTACATTTGAACTGTGCTCACCGTCACTATGGACTTTCAGCTGACGGGTTTCTGTGTCTCGTTGTTGTGCGTGGGGTCGAGTGAGTCGGGACCAACTCACCAGCATCTTACAGCAGCGACAGGCCTGAGAGCAGTGCAGGGAGCAAAGGGCCGTCTCTCAGGAAGGGGACGGTTTAGGAGGTGGGTTAGCCTTGGACAGACTGGAGGTGGCCAGCTCCTCTGCTGTTTGTGGCTCACTGCCTATTCTCCTACTGTCCTCTTCCAAGTGGGTAAATTGGGGTGCAGCACACAATGAACAGAGGAAGATGAACAGAGTGTTCTGCTGTCTTGAACCCCTCACTTCTGCACAGCTTCCCCAGGGTGGGGGTGTAGTGCTCAGATTCCTGCAGATACCTTGTTTATTGATAGACTCCTCAGATTTGCAAGCTCATGTTTACAAGAAACACCGCTTTCTACCACTTTTCTCCTTTAGATTGAGCGAATACTGGGTGTTCGCCTACAAGCTGGCCTAAGAGCTTGGACCCAGGTCCTTCTTGGACACGCAGAGGATAAAGCAGAGGTCGACATGGATACGGATGCTCCGCAAGTCAGTCACAAACCTGGCGGAGAGCCCAAGATCAAAGTGAGTGTTTCTGAGGGTCTGTCAGTCTGCTGGGGCCTCCTGTGCACCTGTTAAGTCCTGCCCCGAGGCCCTGAGGGACCCGCAGGGCCCACCCTGGGCTTCCACAGCCCTTGGGGCCGTCGCTGGGACCATGTATAGGAGCAGAGTGACCACCTCCACGGTCCCTCCTGCAGCTGCTGCAGTAAAGTAGAGGATCAGGTATCAGCCACATGATGGCTAAGTGAACCCGCCTTTCACCTACAGAACGTTGTCCACGAGCTGAGAATAACCAATCAGGTCATCTATTTGAACCCCCCCATTGAAGAGTGCAGATACAAACTGTATCAGGAGATGTTCGCCTGGAAGATGGTCGTCCTGTCTCTGCCCAGGATCCAGAGTCAGCGGTACCAGGTGAGCCGCCAGGTCCCAGCCCGGGCCTCGTCACACACGCCTTATGTGTCTTTTCCGACTGTGGACTCACAGCTGGGGTGCACTAGCCAGAGCCCCGTGCAGCCCGACCTTCCCCAGCTAGTTCCAGGGCGTCCAGGCTCTGCTCTCGGTGGTCTCGATTCCCCCGTGGGCTCGGGGAATCTCAAGTCCTGCTGCTTTTCCCTTTGATTCCACTTTCTGTTATGGGAATCTTCACACGTGCTCAGGAGGAAAGAGGATCTGTGAGCATGGCCTCCCAGCTTCTCTTACCCATGTATGGCAGGTTTGATTCTGGGTTTGCTCCAGGGTTATTTTTTAGCATATCTTAGTGGTAGGCTGATGGCCGAGTGAACTGTGGTAGAGGGCAGTGAGAAGGGCAAACGGTCAACAGGATTAACACAATGACAGCGGGCTCGGGGTCGTAAGGGTGTGTGGTCCATGCGTGCTGGACAGCGTGGAGGTCTGTAGCACTGGACAGGGCATCGTAAGGGTGCGAGATCATGCACGCCAGGCAGCGTGGTGGTCTGAAGCATAGAACATCAACGAGACCACAGTGAAACGAAGCCCCAGGCACCTTTGCACCTGGACTTGTGTCCTCTGCTCAGAACGCCTCCTGGTGGATGTTTGGTGGCTCACTCCCTGCTCCCGCCCTGCCCTCCTTACTTAAGCCCCTGCCTGCACGCCCACTCCAGGCCCCCAGCCCCCTGCCCAGCCTTTCCCCACAGCACTTGTCACCAGTTTCCTCCTTTATGACCTCTCAGGAGTTCGTCTGAGCGCTGTCTTCTGTTTATCACACCTGGCACACTAAGGCAGTCACATAGAATGAATCGCCCAGGTTGATAGAAACATCTGGTCTCACTTGACGCTCCGTTACAGTAGATCACATCCTCAGCTCTTCCCTCCTCAAGCGACGAGGCCACGATGTTGGCCTGCTGCTTTCAAGGGCCACACCCTCTGCCCCCTGAGTTGAAATGACCTGAAAGACTTGATGATGCGAGAAACTGCATCCACTAACCTCAGCCTCAGAGCATACTTTCACCACAAGCTACAAAGTCCAGTTCGATGAGGGCCAAGGTCCTTGTAGCTGAGTGAGGATGACCCGGCTGACCATGGACTCAGATTCACTGTGCCTTTGGCTGCCTAGGTGGGTGTCCACTACGAGCTGACCGAGGAGGAGAAGTTCTACCGGAACGCTCTGACGCGGATGCCTGACGGCCCCGTGGCCCTGGAGGAGTCATACTCCGCGGTGATGGGCATTGTGACTGAGGTCGAGCAGTACGTCAAGGTGAGCTGCCTGTCCTGCCCAGGGGTGCTGTGCTGGTCACAGATGCGGGGTCACTCCTGCTGTAATAGACACGGCTGAGTAGAGAAGTCACACCGGGCCCCAGCTTGGAGGACAGGGCTTTGGGGACATGAGCTGTCACTTTGGAGACCAGTACATTTTTTTCCCACACAATTTAATGTCTTAGTTGATAAAAGTGCTCTGGTGACGTCATAGTGGGACATTGTGCATGAGACTCAGTGCGGTGCCTCTGGCAGGATGAATCTACCAGTGAGTCGTGGGAGAAAGACAGACAGCCTCCTCTATGCAGTTTAGAACCTGGAGGAAACCCACCAGAGGCTCGACCACAGTGCAAGAGAGAAACTAAGAATGGAAGGGGACAAATAATCATCTGTTCCTTCAGCTCCAAATTCCCAAGAAGCAGTACAATGCTTTTTTGAGCTACAGTATCTTATTTTTTCCATTGTATGAGGTCTAGAGGTCATAGAACAGTTTCCATCTCCACTACCTTCATGTTTACAATTAAGTGAAATTGGTGATGTTGTCGTACTGTTCAAGCGTCCGCATTAACTTCGGGATTGCAGTTTCTTGACACTAGGTCCACCAGAGCTCCCTCAGCATTAACTCTCAAGACCAGGAGATTTTTTTTTTTTTTTTCTATAATTATATTTTATTAATTTTCATAAACATTTACAGAGATTTTGGGCTTCCACTCATTCATTGTTGCACTATTCTCTCTACCCTCCTCCCAGTTTGTTCTTGTCCAAATGCCACAGTGCTTGTCAAAGCCAGTTCTGATTAATCTTCTTTGTCAGTGTATCCTTTGCCATTCCCTATCACTCCTCCCTGAGAGAGACTTCACCCTGAGTCATAAGGAAAAGGGGACGGCGTATTCTCTTAGCTACTTCCTGCTGAAAAGGGACGCTGTGGGTTTCAGGGTGAAGATCTTCTTTCACTACTCTAAAGGGCCCCTTTGGCAGTAGGAAACACATAGACTATTATGGAGATTGATTTTGGAATTCAGATGCACTCTTATTGATTGTGCTTGGCCGTACATGTTCATATCTTTGAAAATGTATCATGGGGGTGTTGCAACCTAGAAGACACAAATTTGACTAACAAGTTATAAGTACATGAGTCCAAAAATTATGGAAAAGTAAAAGAAAAGATTCTTTCATTGTTTTACAAACCCTCCCCCAGGTCCCCTCCACCATGCAGCCCTCGCTCTAGTCTCCTGTGATGACAGAAATACCCAGTTACATCTCTCTTTTAGACGGTTCTCTCCCTCCTCTGCTTCAGTGCAGTATACATTATTGAACCCATCTTACTCAGTGTCTCCCTAACCCCAAGGACAGTCCCATTCTACAACAGTGGCATCATGTAATATTTGTCCTTTTGTGACTGGGATAAGGACCAGGAGATTTTGTTTTGTAAAAATTCCGAGAATCTGTGGTGAGACTTTGCAGAGTCTAATGGTGACAGAAGGAAGCCCTGGTGGCGCAGTGGTTACAGGAGTGACTGCTGACCAAGCACTTGTCAGTTCACGCCTGCACGCCGCTGGCCAGGGACAGCTCGGCTTCCCCAAAGGTCATGGCCTCGGAACCCCACGGGACAGTTCCACTCTGCCCACAGGCTTGCTAGGACTCAGAGTTGACTGGCGGGCAGTGGGACAGTGACTCAGGTGCCGGGGTCGTTGTGCAGGAAGCTGAGCACAGCGTGTGCTGACGCTCCGTGTGACGACCACTAACTCGGGCTCACCTGGACCCTTCACGGCAGGTGTGGCTCCAGTATCAGTGTCTGTGGGACATGCAAGCTGAGAACATCTACAACAGGCTCGGGGAGGACCTGAACAAGTGGCAGGCGCTCTTGGTCCAGATAAGGAAGGCCAGAGGGACATTTGACAACGCAGAAACCAAAAAGGAATTTGGACCGGTAGTTATCGATTATGGCAAGGTGAGTGCTGCGGCCTCGTCGGGTGTCGGCCGTGCAGGCAGCTGTCCTCTGACAGCTATCAAGGGACCAATGAGGTGCCTTCCCTCCCCACCGTGCAGGTCCAGTCCAAGGTGAACCTCAAATACGACTCTTGGCACAAGGAGGTTCTCAGCAAGTTCGGACAGATGCTGGGCTCCAACATGACTGAGTTCCATTCCCAGATCTCCAAGGTGCGGAGGGTGGGCGGGCGGGCGCGTCAGTCCAGGGGTCGGCTGGTGAACCCTGCCAGCATGCCGACCTGTGTGCTGACCACCGCACTCTATACAGTCCCGTCAAGAGCTGGAGCAGCACTCGGTGGACACAGCCAGCACCTCAGACGCGGTGACCTTCATCACCTACGTGCAGTCTCTGAAGCGAAAGATCAAGCAGTTTGAGAAGCAAGTCGAGGTGAGCGCTATGAGAACGGGAAGTCCCGACTCCTGACCCTCGTCGGGTTTGTGGTCTCTCACTCCCTGGGGAACCTGTGAAGCAGGAAGGGCCGACCGCCTGCTTGTTGGACGTGTAGGTGTGTGGCCTCGCCGTAGCTCTGCAGGTGATCTGCAGGCACAGTGAGGTCTGAGGACACTGCTCCCCAGCTGTTGAGGTCTCGCCTCAGTGGTTGAACTTGAGGCCAACACGCTTGTGTGTCTGGTGCACAATTGGAGCAGGGAGGACGCACAGCCTGGAAGGCTTCGGCCCCTCATAAGGCCATGCTGGTGCAGCCCAGGCGTAACTGGACTGGCCGTGGCCCACTCTTGACTCACTGCCCTCTGAGCCCAGGAATCCTGGGGACAGTAGATGCGTGACTCTTGTGCGTCCATCGTGTGTGATCCCCCGTGGGGACCGGATCCCCCTCCCTGTAGCTTTCAGAGAGACGAGTGGCCTGTGTCTTCCACTGCAGCTCTACCGCAACGGTCAGCGCCTGCTGGAGAAGCAGCGCTTCCAGTTCCCGCCCTCCTGGCTCTACATCGACAACATCGAGGGCGAGTGGGGGGCCTTCAATGACATCATGAGGCGGAAGGACTCGGCCATCCAGCAGCAGGTGGCCAACCTGCAGATGAAGATCGTGCAGGAGGACCGGGCCGTGGAGAGCCGCACCATTGACCTGCTGGCCGACTGGGAGAAGACCAAGCCCGTGACAGTGAGTCTCGCCCGCTGGGCACCCCCGGCACCACCTGCTGTTCACGGCAGAACTCTCTGGGTGGGCGAGCTTTCCAGGCGTGACGGCCTTTCCTTTTTGTTAATGAAATATGGTTAGTGCTGCGGGGAGTAAACGTGGAAAGAGAGGAGCTAGGAAAATCCAGCCCTCTTCTTACAGACCCTCTTAGAGTGGCAATCATTTAAGTCTAGGAATCCTTAAAGAGTGTTTGACTTAAATTAAGGTGCCCCAGATGTAGGGTTATGAGCTCTCCGCTGTGAACCAAAAGGTTGGCAGTTCAGACCTCCCGGACACTCTCCTGGTGATGAGAGTTTCCCTAAAGGTTTTGACACCTGTTGGGGACAGCTCTTCTCTGTCCTGCAGTGTTCCGACGAGCCAGAATCAACAGCCTAGATTTACTCAGAGCTTATGTTACGTTATAAACTTGGTGAAGATTATTTGAAAATTAGACTTCACTTTCCCAGGGCTGCTGCTAACCTCAGTGTCTCGGGACGCAGGTCCTGTTGTAATTGCCACACCTTTCCTCCGTTCCGAGTTGTAGTTGTCAGACCCACCACACCCGGGTCTCCTCGTTTGTTCTCGTGTTGTCGAGCACTGTGTGTTCCAGCACGGCCCTGCGTGGTGGTGAGACCTGTGGACTGAAGCACAGGCACCCCGCCAGGTGGGGACTCAGGCCCTGACAGGAGAGACCGGCGATGCTGAAGGAGGAGGCTGGGTGGAGCCCGGTGGTGCAGCCAGGAGGCGCTGGGGAAGGGCGGGTTTGCTGTTGGTTGGAGCCGTGTCAGGGAAGGTGGCACTGAAGGCCTGCGGGAGGAGCAGGTTCAGGCAGGAGCAGAGGAACTCAGGCAGGTGAGCTTGATGTCTCGGGTGGCACTCTCCACTCTCCTTCAGTGCACATGCCTACAGCGTTAGACAAGACCCTCACCATGGTCACCGTCCACCTGGACCTCTGGTTTGGAGGTGGGAGCTTCCACAACAGACCAGGGCATAGACAGGGTTGCCCACACTTCCTGCCCGGTGCTCTGTCTGGACCTGACCACAGCCGTGCTGCCTGGCTGTCTCAGCTTCTCTGTGGTGACACTCCTGCTTCTTGGTCCTGTACTGCCAGGTCCCTGTGGCTGGCTCCAGGGAGTGTGTAGTCTGTCACAGTCGTAGGAAGGTTCACATTGTCACGTGTGAGGGCTCTTATCGTTGTATCTTGGTGCCCATCTGGTAGAATCCTGACTTTTGTACAGTTGCTCTTGAAAGTGAATGGCCGTGGAAAGGGAAGGTGGCAGCAGTGTGTTGAAGTGGAGGCCATTCCTGTGAGTGCCGGCCTCGGGCTCCCATTCTCCGCTGAATGACCAGTGACTTGGGTGTGCTGCTCACTCGGTGTGGTTGGGGCTCCTGGTCCCTCTCGTCTGGCCCAGGTCCATCCACCTCTTCCCCCACCTCCAAGGCTAGCGGCCCAGGTGGAAGGAGAGGCGCCCTTTGTCGAGTGTAGACCTTCAGTGAGCGCAGCGGTCACAGGCTGGATAGGTCATGGGTGTGTGTAGATGTGTTTGGGGATTCACCGTCTCCTGCCACCGTTTTAAAGCGTCCTGTTCACCTCTGAGACTGGGCGCTACAGTCTCTGTTCTGCCTCCTTTCAGGGCAACCTGCGGCCGGAAGAGGCACTGCAAGCCCTCACCATCTACGAAGGGAAGTTCGGCCGGCTGAAGGACGATAGGGAGAAGTGCGCCAAGGCCAAGGAGGCGCTGGAGCTGACGGACACAGGGCTGCTGAGCGGCAGTGAGGAGCGAGTGCAGGTGCGAGCGAGACCCCGGCTCTTAGCTCCCCTGTCTCCACGTCCGCTCCGGGTTCTGAGGGGACTGTGACCCCGACGTGTGACTGCCTGTGCTTCCTGATCACAGGTGGCCCTGGAGGAGTTGCAGGACCTCAAAGGAGTGTGGTCAGAACTTTCTAAGGTCTGGGAGCAAATTGATCAGATGAAGGAGCAGCCCTGGGTCTCCGTGCAGCCCCGGAAGGTACGCATGGTGTGGGCCCCGGCTAGGATATGACATGCTTGTCTAACATGTACAGGCTCAGAGGTATGTGTGGTGGGAGCCCCGGGTCATGTATGACACTTGTGTTGTATGTACAGGCTCAGAGGTGTGTGTGGTGTGAGCCCAGGCTTGTGTATAATGCGCTTGTGTAACACGCAGGCTGTTGTGTTAACTAAGAGCTGTAGATTTAGTTGCCTTAGAAACTTACCAGACTAGGAACCGCGTCTTGAGTCCACACGGTCTCAGGCAGCATCTCGCACGTGACTTACATTAGTTTTCCAGAACTGTGTGAACGTCGTTGTAAAACCCCTTCTCAGACTGTATCCCCGGTTGGAGGAGGCTTTACTGACTGGCGTCTTGGGTCTCTGACAGCTCCGGCAGAACCTCGACGGGCTCCTGAACCAGCTGAAGAACTTCCCCGCGCGGCTCCGGCAGTACGCGTCCTATGAGTTTGTGCAGCGGCTTCTGAAGGGCTACATGAAGGTTGGTGGCGCTGTGGGTGTGGCGGGGGTCGTCCACTCGGAGCATTCGCGTCCTGATGGCACACCCTCCCCAGATCAACATGCTGGTGATCGAGCTCAAGTCCGAGGCCCTCAAAGACCGCCACTGGAAGCAGCTGATGAAGCGGCTGCACGTCACCTGGGTGGTCTCTGAGCTCACGCTCGGCCAGATTTGGGACGTGGACTTGCAGAAGAACGAAGCCATTGTCAAGGACGTGCTGCTTGTGGCCCAGGGGGAGATGGCGCTGGAGGAGTTTCTGAAACAGGTACGTACGTACTAGCCCGGACCCCTCCTCACATGTCCTGTGTGGCCGTTATGTGGGTGTGAGCTGTGGAAACGAGGCCAGTGGCTTACGGTGGGAAGTCGCTGAGGTGCACAGTTACAGGTGGGGCCTGGACTCTGCACGAGCTCCCTTCCCAGCTGGGCCTTTAAGGATTTCTCAGGGTTTCAGCCTGACTCTTTCAGTCATGACTGAGGAGCATCAGTGGAACAGACTCAGTTATTTAAAGTTATGAGGGAGCTCTGGTGGCTTAGTGTCAAGAAGCTGTGCTGCAATCCCAGAGGTATGCAGTTCGAATCCACCAGATGCTCTGCTGGAGAAGGAGGGGCAATCTCCTCCTGGGCCAGTCGAATTTGATTCAGCGGTAAAAACAACAAACAAAGATAGGAAAAATCTATAAGCCAGAGTCGGAAAAATTCCCAGGTAAAGCCTCACCAGAAACCTCATCTCCCTCTTAACAGAAGAAGCGTGGCAAACCGGCTCACCAGCACCCAACCTCTTGCATCATTTGAATTCCCCACATAGTCTGATGCAGCACTAACCCCTCAGAGATGGCAGCCAACCGTTATGGGATGTGTTATCCTCCGTGGGCCCATTCTCCGTGTCAGCCTCTGGAAAGAGCTCACTACATCTCCTCCAGTCTCCCTTTCCAGGGCTCTGACCCCTAGCTTTTCTCATTTTAGGACCAGGTCCTGTCTGCCAAATTGTTCCTGGTTTGCTTTGTCAGCCATGACAGGCTAGTAGCAGTGTCTATAGGTTGGGTGTTCGTATCCCAGGGCTTACCTGTGCTGAGAAAAACCCTTTAAATCAAAGTTTTCTCCAGGACAGAACTCCATGTTTTGACCTCTTAATCACTGAGCCTCATCAAAAAGCATTCTCAATCAAGGCTTCCTCCAGGACAGGACTCTGTCTGGTCCTCATAAGATGAGGCCTTGTCACCTGTGGTTCTTTTTTGTGCTGGTCAGTCTTGGCCCCGTGTGGCAGCCCTGTATTGACTAGCTGCGTTTCTGCTCAGATACGAGAAGTCTGGAATACTTACGAGTTAGACCTGGTCAACTATCAGAACAAGTGTCGCCTGATCCGGGGCTGGGACGACCTCTTCAACAAAGTCAAGGAGCACATCAACAGCGTCTCCGCTATGAAGCTCTCGCCCTACTACAAGGTACCAGCGGGGACCCCCTCCTGCCTGGCCGGGACTCGCCAGTCTCTTGGGGCCTTGGGGACCTCAGGGCTGGCAGGAACTGGGTGCCTGTATTTCGGAATGTGAGCCACGTCACATGACGGCCATCCTGATCTGCGGTGTTTGAGTACAGCCTGGCCGCTCTGCGGGTGGGGAGTTGACAGCAGCCCCGCCTCCCCGTGTGCCCACTAGGTCTTCGAAGAGGATGCCCTCAGCTGGGAGGATAAACTGAATCGGATCATGGCCCTCTTTGACGTGTGGATTGATGTCCAGAGGCGCTGGGTGTACCTGGAGGGCATCTTCACGGGCAGTGCAGACATCAAGCACCTGCTTCCGGTGGAAACCCAGCGATTCCAGAGGTACAGGCCTTCTAAGCTGGAGGCTCGGGGCAGCTGGGAACCGCTCTGTAGCAGGAGGTGACGCGGGGTGTCCTTGGATTCGCAGCATCAGCACCGAGTTCCTGGCTCTGATGAAAAAGGTCTCCAAGTCCCCCCTGGTGATGGATGTTCTGAACATCCAGGGGGTCCAGCGCTCTCTGGAAAGGCTGGCGGACCTGCTAGGAAAGATCCAGAAGGCGCTGGGAGAGTACCTGGAGCGTGAGCGGTCCTCTTTCCCCAGGTGAGACCATCTCGACGGGCACCACTGAGGTGAACTCCTTCCGGTAGTCCTCCCCTCGCTGTCCTCCCCCCTCCCACTGGGGACCCATCTCCTTCCAGGATCCCGTTAGCCAGAATCCTTGCCCTCTGCACTGATCTGCAGAGCACCAGCGATCCCTCACTACCTGCCTCACTCCCTCATGGACAGTGTGCATCCCTGAAGTGTTGTGATTCTCCTCAAAGTGGCCCCTAGTCTTTTATGAAGAGCTTTGCTTAGTGTGAATTGTACAAGTTTGTTTTGGGGTTTATGTATTATTTTTTTAAAAAGCCTCCACTCAGTAGGATGATGTTGTGTGCTGTGGAGTCACTTGCAATTCATAACGACCCTATGAACTGTAGCCCTGAACCCTGCCCTATCCTGTGCCAACTTCACTGTCTCTGACACACCCATCCTCATTACCCCATCGCTGAATCTATCTCATCGATGGTCTTCCCCTCTTACTCTGTCCCTTTACCCTTTCCCTCTCCAAGGACTAGTCCCTCCTTGCACCATGCCCAGAGTATGTCGCACGGAGCCTCAGAACCCTTGCCCCCAAGGATAGGGGAGGAAGAGGAAGCACGAGGCAGGGATGAAAGGTGGGAGGAGAAGGAACAGAAGATGCGGTCTGACTTCAGGCTGCTGGCCGTCCACCTCCATTCACAACCTCTTTCCTTTGCGTAGTTCAAATACTGTGCTTGGTCCTCCTTCTCTGTACAGATTAGAATATTTTAGCAACTTAAATCCCCTTTTAATTTCAGGTTCTACTTTGTGGGTGATGAAGATCTGCTCGAGATCATTGGCAACAGCAAGAACGTGGCCAAGTTACAGAAGCACTTCAAGAAGATGTTTGCCGGCGTGTCGAGCATCATCCTGAACGAAGACAACTCCGTGGTCCTGGGCATCTCGTCCCGCGAAGGAGAGGAGGTAGCCGGGGCTGTCTGTGCCTCCGCGGGTGCCGCTCAGGGGTTCCCACCCCCTAACTTGGCGAACGGCTTCTGTTTCAGGTTATGTTTAAGACCCCCGTGTCAATTACTGAGCACCCCAAAATCAACGAGTGGCTCACGCTGGTGGAGAAGGAAATGAGAGTCACTCTGGCCAAGCTCCTAGCCGAGTCTGTCACGGAGGTGGAGATTTTTGGTAAAGCCACTTCAATTGACCCCAATACCTACATCACCTGGATCGACAAGTATCAGGTAAGGGGTGGTGGGCGTGGGGCAGGTTGGGGCGAGGGCACAGGCCAGGCTCTGGAGTAATCCCTCTGGACCCTGCTCGTGTCCCTCAGGCCCAGCTGGTGGTTCTGTCAGCCCAGATCGCCTGGTCTGAAAACGTGGAATCGGCTCTGAGCAGTGTGGGCGGCGGGGGTGACGCAGCTCCCCTGCACTCCGTGCTCAGCAACGTGGAAGTGACACTCAACGTGCTGGCCGACTCCGTGCTGATGGAGCAGCCCCCGCTGCGCAGGCGGAAGCTGGAGCACCTGGTGAGTCCACACCCCTCCTCCTGCCTCCGGCCCAGAGGCCACAAGAACCCGTCTTGAAACATGGAGGGGCATCTCACACTGTCCTCCGTTGAAAGTGGTGTTGATGGGATACAGGAGCTCCGAGACTGGCCTGCAGACAGTCACAGTCTTGACCACAGGCTGTCCTCTTGCCATCATTCCCCTCCCCGCTCAGCGCTGGGACAGCTGAGAGCTAGGACAGCTGACCACCGGGCTGCATGACCTGCGTGCAGGGGGCACAGCCTCTGGCAGGGTCTGCCCCTCAGGCTTTATGCCGGTTGCTGAGCTTGCTGTTTTGTTACCTCTTGTCATTTTCTTGTTTTGTTTTTTAATACCTTTTTTTCATCGTTGGAACATTTTCTTTCCCCTCAACCTGCCCCGCAGTGCATCCCTTGTTCCAGATTATTCTCACAAGTTTAATGTGTTATATATTTCTCTCGAATCTATGTTCATTATCAATCTACTTTTCCCCATTCTCTCCCCTATTCCTCTATATCTGTACTATTTTATAACAGTGGTGTTGTGCAGTATTTGTCCTTTGTGATTGAAATCTTCCACTCAGCATGGTGTTCTCCATGTTCCCTTTGATCTGTAACGTTTACTATATCATTGTTTTCCAGCTCTCCGTAATAACCCGTTGTGTGAATGTACCATAGTTTTTCTATCCATTCATTAACACTTGGGTTGCTTCCATCTCTTTGTGATTGTAAATAATGCGGCAGTAAACCTGAGTGCATCAGTTGCTGCATTTTAAAAATGGTTGATTTTGGAGCTTTTTGAATCACCAGAATAAAGAAGCATCGAACTGCAAAAAAAAAAAAAAGGTTGATTTTGTTTTTGCTGCAGCTCTGTTGGTCTGCAATTCTGTTGCATCGGAAGTGGTGTCTGTTAACAATGACTTTTACTTTGGAATACTTTCCGAAAGTCCTTGCTGCCAGATGTAGGAATTCTGTTAAGTCCAACACATTATCTTTGACTCCCAAGACTATGCTGTCTGACTTTAGTTATGACCAACGTTCTGTTTATTTGAAACATACATTTCAAAACGTTTCACCTGCATTCACGTGAGCGTTTCAGTGATGCCGATTACGTTCTTTATCTTTACCGCCATTAACACTATTCTTTTCAAAAATATTCTCCAACCATTAACACAAACGGAGTGCCCGCCAAAGAACTCCCTGAAACTCCCTGTTTTTCCCCCACACCCCCACCCTGCCAGCCGTAGGTACACTGGCTTTTGGCGATTTGCTTATCTTGTTTATGTGAGACCGTACAGTCTGCGTGATCTGCCGCTGACTTCTCTCACTTGGCATTATGTCTTGGAGGCGAGCCTGTGTTGCAGCAAGCACGCGTTTCTCTATGGCTGAGTAGTTGTCCACAGTTTGCACTGCTCTGTCCATCATGGGTGGGTGGGCATCTGGGTGGTCTTCCCCTTCCCGGCTGTCGGGAAAAGTGCTGCCGGGCAGGCTGGTGTGTGCAGGTGTCCGTTGACGATCCTGCTTTCACGTCTCGTGTGTGCGTCCCAGCACTGAGAGCGCCGAGCTGTCTCCTGTGGTGGCTGCAGCATCTCCGTGCCCAGCAGCAGGCGATGAGGGAGGGTTCCAGGTTCTCCACGTTTGTTTGCTGCTGCTGTTCAAATGAGGGTGGGTGACCTCTCGCTGTGGTTTCCATGCCTAACCTTTTCAAGTATCCATTTCTCTTCAGATTACGGAATTGGTCCACCAGAGAGATGTTACCAGGTCCTTGCTCAAAAGCAAGATCGACAACGCCAAGTCCTTCGAGTGGCTCAGCCAGATGCGCTTCTACTTTGACCCCAAGCAGACGGACGTGTTACAGCAGTTGTCCATTCAGATGGCAAATGCCAAGTTCAACTATGGCTTCGAGTACCTGGGCGTCCAGGACAAGCTGGTCCAGACGCCACTCACAGACCGCTGCTACCTGACCATGACGCAGGCCTTGGAGGCCAGGCTGGGGGGCTCCCCCTTCGGTGAGTGAGTCCACCACAGGCCCTGCCCGACAGAAGCCCCGCCCCGCCTGACAAAGGTCACAGGCCACAGACTCTCTTGTGGATGATTTGAATGTGATTCTTAATGACCTGGCTAAATACTGTGGCATAGTTTGAAATCTTTTACTTGTTTATGTTTTTATGTTTAGAACGTTTTATGTTTTACAACTGTCTTAAGGATTAGCTCAGTGAAGCAGTGGACTGCAATCCTCAGTTACTTTTCTTCAATAAAAATAGGCCCTGCTGGCACTGGGAAAACGGAGTCCGTCAAAGCGCTTGGCCATCAGCTCGGGCGGTTTGTCTTGGTTTTCAACTGTGACGAGACCTTCGATTTCCAGGTGAGGGCCTTCAGGGCAGCCGCCCCAAGTGTCATGGGCTGGGAGGGTCAGTGAGGAGTTGTCAGATGGTTGCCTCAGCCTAGTGTGACTTCTCTGCCCCCGAGACCTTGGGGCTGTTGGGTTTGGGCTGTGAGGAGACCTCACATTCCTGCTTTTAGAGTTCAGTCATCCTTGTGACAGGTCGTTTCCACAAGAGCAGATGCCCTTGTCTGGGGGTGCCCAATGCCAGCATAACTCTAAAACGTGGTCCTCTTGGGTCTGGTGGGCTTGGGGGAGAAGAGGTGTGGGGGCAGCTGGGCAGTGGTGTCCATTGTTCCCGCGCTCACAAACTGTGTGAACTGTGCCCTTCCGGGTATCCTTCTCCCTGAGTTCTGCTGCTATTTCCTGGGCTAAGGCATCACTCCTTTGTAAAGACTCAGCGTCGTGGGTTCCGAGGTGGGATGAGGTTGGACGATGACTGGAGCCAGGACCTGGACTTGCAAAGCTGAGGCCCAGATTCCACAGCACCTGCCGTCCTCTCCTCCCCTTTCAGGCCATGGGCCGGATCTTCGTGGGGCTTTGCCAGGTGGGCGCCTGGGGCTGCTTTGACGAGTTCAACCGCTTGGAGGAGCGCATGCTCTCAGCCGTGTCGCAGCAGGTGCAGTGCATCCAGGAGGCACTGCGGGAACACTCCAATCCCAACTACGACAAGAGTAAGGGTCCTGCTGGTTGACCAGCTCGGTCAGACAGAACAGGTGGAGACCTGGGTGGGCTGCATCGGCTCTTCAGAGGCCTCACTGCAGGCAGCAGCACACAGCTCCTGTGTCCCAGAACAGCCGGGGACCAAGGCAGTCTTCTCACAGTGTACTCCCTCACAGCGGGCTCTGAACCCCTGAGGACTTGCTCCGTCCTTGAGACAAAGCTCTGTGCTCCTTGATGCCATGCTCCACCTTTGGCATTTGCCACAGAACAAGTTTTCCAAGCTGGGTGCCCCCTCTCCTTCCTGTGTCCCCTAAGTACATAGTGGGAGGATTTAGTGTTTAGTGCAGGAAAAGTTGATTCTTTGTATTAAGGCCCTCGGTTTGTTACAACACTGATGGAGTTTTGTTTCTGTAACTGGCCTGTGACCTAATTGCTGACAGGCAGCAGTCGAAGGTTCTGTCGTGTGAGATAGACAGTAGCTGCCCTGGCTTTTGGGGTGCCCGTTCAGATCACGTGTACCTGGCATGGCTCTGCAGGCTTCCGGTGGGCAGTGAGGCCTCTGAAAGGCCAGACAGACCCTGGCTTCAACACTGGGGTGCAAGGCCAGTGCAGACACGGGTGTGTTGGGGTCACTTAGCGTGGTGTTGTAAATGCTGGGAGTCTTACTGCCGTCGTCCCGTTTGTAGCTTCTGCCCCCATCACGTGTGAGTTGCTGAACAAGCAGGTGAAGGTGAGCCCGGACATGGCCATTTTCATCACCATGAACCCCGGCTACGCGGGCAGGTCCAACCTCCCGGACAACCTCAAGAAGCTGTTCCGGAGCCTCGCCATGACCAAGCCGGACCGGCAGCTGATCGCCCAGGTCATGCTGTACTCCCAGGGCTTCCGCACCGCCGAGGTGCTGGCCAATAAGATCGTGCCCTTCTTCAAGTGAGTGCCCGCTGTGTGGCTCCCGGCGGTGGCCGGGGAACCGTGGCGCTGGACGCTGGCGGGGCCTGACGCGTACGTCTTCTGAGGAAACGTCCTTTCTCCTCTAGGCTGTGTGATGAGCAGCTGTCTTCCCAAAGCCATTACGACTTCGGCCTCCGGGCTCTGAAGAGCGTGCTGGTGAGCGCCGGCAACGTGAAGAGGGAGAGAATCCAGAAAATCAAGAGGGAGAAGGAAGAACGCGGCGAGGTGGTCGATGAAGGAGAGATTGCCGAGAACCTGCCTGAACAGGAGGTCGGTGCCCGGCCCCTCGAGCCCTTAGCTCTAGTGCGTGGTCCATGTCCTCCTGTTGGATTTCTGTCACCACTCGATGGCGTGGACTCCGTTCTTTGTTGCCTGTCCTGTCTAACTGTGACGTGGGGGGCGTGAGGCGTGGATTGATGTTCTAGACGTGACACCTGTGTCCTGCCTCATCCCGTCCTGGGTAAGCCCCTCTGGAGCCTCAGGCCTCTTCCTCCGCCTCCTAGATCCTGATCCAGAGCGTGTGTGAGACGATGGTGCCGAAGCTGGTGGCCGAGGACATCCCGCTGCTCTTCAGCCTCCTGTCGGACGTGTTCCCCGGAGTCCAGTACCACCGTGGGGAGATGACCGCCCTGCGAGAGGAGCTCAAGAAGGTGTGCCAGGAGATGTACCTGACCTACGGCGACGGCGAGGAGGTCGGCGGCATGTGGGTGGAAAAGGTAACGCGGTGGTGCTGTCCTCACGGGTGTGCTGGCACAGGCGGTCACTCGTTGGTGCCACTGACCAGCACAGAGACTGGGCGTGGTGGAGCTCGTCCGGGAAGGCTCGTGGTCGCTCCAAGATCTGTGAGGAGGGGCCTCCGCTTTGATCTAGAGGCGCCCAAACTTGCCTGGTGCAGATGATTGTCAGAATGTGAGGGACAGGAGTGGGCTCAGGCGGGAGTGGGGCCATCTCCCTACAAGCACTGAGCCAGCCCATCCCAGTGACATCTCCATAGGCGTAAGCCTGCTGGTGGGGATGCGTGTGTGTCTGCTCGGTGTCTATTCTCTGAGCTTTAGCGTATTGCTTAATGAGCTATATGCTGAGCCTGAGACAGAAGACTATGGGGTTATGTAAACAGCTTAACCTGTTTCTTGGGTTTTTTCCCTTGGAGAGCATTGAGCACCTCTCTTTTTGAGGCAGTCTGGTGGGCCTCTGGTGCTCCCAGACTTCCTGAATGGCTCCTAGCACACAGTTAAAAGGCTCTGAAGTCCTTTTCCAGCTGCAGGTCCATGTCCTCACCTGCAGGAGCCCACAGTGCACAGTCTCCTGCGTGGGTTTGAGTGTGACATGGCCCTGTGTGGTAGCCCCCTGGCTCATGTGCCACAGGTGCTCCAGCTCTATCAGATCACCCAGATCAATCACGGACTCATGATGGTGGGGCCATCAGGCAGCGGGAAGAGCATGGCCTGGCGAGTGCTGCTGAAGGCTCTGGAGCGACTGGAGGGGGTGGAAGGTGTGGCCCACATCATTGACCCCAAGGCCATCAGCAAAGACCACCTCTACGGAACGCTGGACCCCAACACCAGGGAGTGGACCGACGGGCTGTTCACACATGTTCTGAGAAAGTAAGTTCACGGCAACCTGTGGCTTGGTCCAGTAGCTGCTGGGGCTGGCAAATGTGTGCAGGTCAGCAAGAGTAGGGACTGACAGGTGTCCTGGCCAACAGGTGTGCAGATGAGCAGGTTTATGCACTGACAGGTGTGCGGGTCAGCAGGTGGGAGGACTGACAGGCGTGCGGGTCAGCAGGTGGGAGGACTGACAGGTGTACAGGTCAGCAGCTGTGAGGATTGACAGGCGTGCGGGTCAGCAGCTGTGAGGACTGACAGGCGTGCGGGTCAGCAGGTGCGAGGACTGACAGGTGTGCGGGTCAGGTGTGAGGACTGACAGGTGTGCAGGTCAGCAGCTGTGAGGACTGACAGGCGTGCGGGTCAGCAGGTGTGAGGACTGACAGGTGTGCGGGTCAGCAGGTGTGACTGAGGACTGACGGGTGTGTGGGTCAGCAGGTGTGAGGACTGGCAGGTGTGCGGGTCAGCAGGTGTGAGGACTGACAGGTGTGAGGACTGGTAGGTGTGTGGGTCAGCAGGTGTGAGGACTGACAGGTGTGAGGACTGGCAGGTGTGTGGGTCAGCAGGTGTGAGGACTGGCAGGTGTGCGGGTCAGCAGGTGTGAGGACTGGCAGGTGTGCGGGTCAGCAGGTGTGAGGACTGACAGGCGTGCGGGTCAGCGAGGTTTGTGGCAGCCACAAGCTGGACTCTTGGTGCCGTTTTCCAGCAGCACGTGGAAAATCCCATCTCAGTCATTCTCACAGCATTTCACGCTTTTCCGCGTCTTTGCATTCTTGATAGACTGCCAGGACACTGAGCTGTTGGCGTTAGTCATTTAGGCTGGTCACTCTCCATTTCTGAGGCCATGAATCTTACGGAAGGAGGTGGCCCATCTTTCCCTCACAGAATGTGGATTCAGACCACCTTCCTGGTTGGCAACCTCTCTCACAGTGCACTGTGTGGTCAGAGCTCTTGGATGGACCGGAGCATGGTGTGAGCATAGTGATCGTGGACACGCCTCACTCACAGTGCACTGTGTGGTCAGACCTCCTGGGTGGACCAGAGCACGGTGTGAGCGTAGCGATCGTTTACACCGAGAAGCCGTAGGAGTCCCCAAGCCTCGCTCTGCAGCCCGGCTCTGCGTGTTGCTGCAGCGTGGGGTTGTACCTGCAGTGTCTCTGGGATGTGCTTGGGCATTGCTTGTCCACCCAGAGAGCCCCCGAACCGCCCAGGAATGATGCTGTTAACCTGAGGGTCTTGGCTCGCTTCCCCACCAGGATCATTGACAACGTGCGGGGTGAGCTGCAGAAGCGCCAATGGATTGTCTTCGATGGCGATGTGGACCCGGAGTGGGTGGAGAACCTGAACTCTGTGCTGGACGACAACAAGCTCCTGACCCTGCCCAACGGAGAGCGTCTCAGCCTGCCCCCCAACGTAAGTCGTGCGAGGACCCTGGGGACCGGCACTCGGACTCTCGGGAAGCTGGCCGCAGTGTGAACAGAAATAGCAGCAGCTGGTCAGTGCGTGCTGATTCTCATTGCTGGGGCTGGGGGGACGCGTGTGAGTGGATCTGTGAGTAACTCCCTCCTTGGAGGGCACGCTGTCATTTCCACTGACCCTGCAAGCTCTGGTCTCAGTGTGTCTCTTAACTGTCTGTCATGATGAAGGTGAGAGTTTACAGAGTGAACGGGTTTCTGATCTCCAGTTGGTGCACGTCCTTTCTGTGGCTTTGACTGTAACAGCACTCTTCCCCCGGCTCCCTGTGATTCTTGTTTCCACTCGTCCTGCTCTCCTGGCCCTTCCTCCTCTGAGCTTTATCACACGGTGACTGCTGCCCTGGGAGCTGCTGCAGGCGGTGGTGCAGTGTGTACCTTCCTGGGGGTGTTGTTCCTGAGGAGGCCTGAGGAGCTCTGGTGCCTTAGCGCATGCTGCTAATAAAAGGTTTAGTGGTCTGAATCCACTTGGCTGCTTTGTAGGAGAAAGATGAAATGTTTCCTGCAGTAAAGTTTTCAGATGTGTCTAGGGAGAAAGGTCTGGAGCACCCCGAGAGCCCTCCCTTCTCAGGCCCCCAGCTTGGGGTGCCTGCCTTTTCCTTGGGATCCCTGACTGGCAGGAGGTGGAGATGAAGGGCCAGGAGGCCTGCCTGGGCTTCCATGGTGCCTCAGGGAGGCTGCAAATTGGACCAGGTGCTGAGTTCTGGGGCATTCCAGTGTGCCCCCTACTGTACGAGTTCTGTGGAGGCATGGCATACTGTGGGCCTCAGGTTGACCTGCAGCAGCTGTCCTAAGATAGCCCTGAGATTCCTCATCCAGGGAGCAGGGGGGCTGAGGTGGAGAGCAGCTCGGAGGGGGCCTCCCCCGAGCCTGGCACTGCCCCCCACGGCTATAAAGATGGACGAGGAGAAGCCGGATGAAAAGGAGTCGAGGACGTCAACACTCATCGGAGACCTGGAGCAGTTTGCCAAATGCTTAAAGCTGAAGAAGGTCACCCTACGGTGTGCCCAAGCTCAGGAAGGGCTCACTCTGGGAGCTCTCTTCGGGAAGGTTCTTCCCCAAACAACCACCTGTCACTTGGAGGCTCTGCAGCTCAGTGTCAAGAACATGTGGAAGCTGCTGCCCCTGCTGCAGAAGTAGGTGGTGGAGGCAGACGGCTGAGAAAACCTCCAGGAGATACGCAATACGGAGACCCTCCTGCGGCAGGCCCAAGGAGGAAGAGAGCAGGCATTGAGACCAGAGTGAGAGGCAGCCCGGAGAGTCTCGTCCTGCTGCCCCGAGCCCATCCTGCACCAGGCCAACCACGTAACCACATCGCCCAGGGGCTTGGCTTGAGGCGGACGTGGTCCGAGTGTGAAGACCCAGCATCAGAAGGCAGTCGATCTGGTGGTGACTGCTCCCAGCGAGAGGATCTTGAGCCTGCTGGCTCTCCTTCTCCTCCGGCACTGGGGCCCCACTTTGGTACCCCAGGCTGTGGAGGCCCTCACGTGACTGCTTTGTACTCCCCGATCCCTTTCCCTGAGGCCAAGCCTTCCTCGCTCTCCAGGACTGTCCCGTGAGCTCTCCCATGCATTCCAGCTGAAATCCTGCCCTTCCAGGAGTGGGTGGCAGAAGAAAGGGGAGAACCGGGAAATAGTCCTGGGATTGGAACTAGGGCTTTTGGTTTACGTTCCTCATTCACTTAGGAAGGAAGAAATTGGGGCTAGAGATTTGGGGTAACTGTTCTAGAAAAGGTACAATTCAGTGATGCTCTTGATAATCAATCCTCACTCACCTCATCTTAAATCAAATACTTGGGGCCCAGTTAAAAAAAGATGGTAAAGCTTCGCCTCACATCCTCGGGCATCTTGTTAGGAGTTATTCCTTGGAGAAGGGAACTGACGCTTGGAGGGTCAGCAGAAGTAGGGAAGACCCTCAGCCAGGTGGATTGACACGGTGACTGCAGCCGTGGGCACTGGTGTGTCAGGCAGTGTGAGGACGGCGGACAGGACAGGGTTCAGCTCTGTTGTTCATAAGGTTGCTGTGGGTTATACTTGACTCGATGGCACCTAACAACCACCATAAAGATAGAAACCTGATGGAGGGATGGTACTGATTGGTTTATTGGCGAGTTTATTGTTTGAAAGTTGAGTCATGACACAGGTAGGATTTCTTGACTTATTCTGTTGTGTATACCATTGACTTGGGCTGGAATCCAGGTTGGAAGTCTGGAGCAGCTGATTCTACAGAGGTTTGTTTTCTGGTTCTGGTCAGCATTAGGGTGGGATGTTTATTTGCCATTGGGTGTGAGTTGATTTTATTAAGCCTCCTATTTAAAAAGGCATTTGGGCCCTCTGGCCTGTGGCCCTCAGACCTAGTTTTAATTGTTTTGGGTCAAACATTCTTCTAAGTGGTATAGCCCTGGTCTGTCCATTTGCTGTACAGAGGTAATTTGTGGTTGCTGTGATGCTGAACACTGTGACACTGATGTGTCAAATGTCATAATGGTCACCCCATGGTGGACAGTGTTAGGTGGAGCTCCCTGATTAAAACAGGTTTGGAAGCAGGAGTGGCATCCACTTCCAAAGTATCTTGTCTCCGGCAACCCTGTGAACGTGGAGAAACAATGAAAGTTATACAAGTGTTTAGGTCTTTGGTTCATAGGATCGCTATGAGTTATTTATGACTCAGTGGCACTTAACAACAACATTGGCATGCTGTGTTTGGTTCCATGATACTGCTGGTTCCCACAGAGTCAGTTCCGAGCCCCAGAAGCCCTATATTAACAGAGTCCCTCTGTCCTTGAGGGTGGTCCTGGCTGTGATTTTTATCATAATGAATTTCCAGGTCTTGTAAAACCACTGGTTGAGTTTGAACCACCAGCCTTCTGGTTAGCAACCTCGTGCTTAGCTGTACGTCTAGGAAGTGGCAGACAAGGGATGTGGAGATGGGAGTTGATGAGGCTATAACTTGAGAAACGGGCGTTGTGACCTGTGCCTCTCACACGTGACTGTGAGCAATCCTGTGTGGACTTGCATTTGAGCTTCTGTGTGAGGTTTCTGGAGAGCCAGCAGGTGCCCAACGCCGCCTCGGAGGCTGGAACATGGCAGTGGACACACTGGACGGAACCCTTGTCAGGGAGACGAGCAGGGTGTGTCATGAGGGGAGTGAGGAGCGGTCAGTGGGAGGTGGGCAGCAGGCTCTGCTGAGGTGGGGTGCGCGCCAAAGGGATTGACCCTGCAGGAGTACAGGTCACCAGGGGCTGTGGACCTGTATGGGCCAGGCTCTCAGTGAGGGGAGGAACTGGGGACAAGAGAGGGACTGGGTCTGCCTGCACCCAGGGCCACCATGGTGAGTGGGTTAGATGAGTGCGTGCTCTGGGAAGGGGTTAGTGTGATCTGACTTGTCTGAGGTGCCCCCTTGTGCTGTGGGCAGGGCAGTAGAGTGGGGCGACCCTGGAGCCGGGATGGCCCTGGTGCAGGAACACTCGCAGTAGCCCCAGCACCAGTGGGGTGATGGGCTAGGGACACACGGGCTAACCCCAGTACCAGTGGGGTGATGGGCTGGGGACACCTCCAGTAGCCCCAGTACTGGCGGGGTGACGGGCTGGACAGGTGCCCGAGGTGCAGGTGCTAAGAAGTGGCTGGATTCTGGATCCAGTGTGAAGGTGGAGGCTTTGTAGTGGACTGGAAGTGGGTGAGAGGCTGAAAGTGGGGAGTCAGGGTGACACCCACCATGAACTGTGGTCAAGAAGGATCATGCTCGGTGGCCATCACCACAGCACGAGCAAGGCTGGTACTTGGTGCCCATCAGAAAGTATGTTCATTTGGCTTCGGGGTTCCTGTGTTCCAGCAGGTTCTTTGCGTAGCCAGCTGTCCAGTAGGTTTTGAGTGTGAGAGAGCTTGGTGTCCTTGGTCGGAACTAGCCCTCCTGCCCTGAGCCACAGCCCCTCAACAAGCCCCCCGCATTGCCCGTCCGCTGGGCTACTGTGAGGACCGAGCACCTTCAGTAGCACCTGCCGTGTCATCACAGTCCGGTCTGTGGCCTGCTACCTGCAGTGGATGAGGCAACTCGAACTCCACCCCAGGTCTTCTGATGGGAGAGGGGTTGTCTGACCCACTCCTGTCCTCACCCCTCCGTCGTTCCTGGGGAGAGGGCTGCTGGGTGTTAGGGTGCGGTGAAGTCACACTGCTTTTACTTGGAGGGTAAATGTGAACAGCAAACCTAAAGCGCCATGATGGGGTGCATGCAGATGACACAGTTCAGAGCGTACCTTTGAACCTGTTCCTCCAGGTGCGGATCATGTTTGAGGTGCAGGACCTCAAGTACGCCACGCTGGCCACTGTGTCGCGCTGTGGCATGGTCTGGTTCAGTGAGGACGTGCTGAGCACCGACATGATCTTCAACAACTTCCTGGCCAGACTGCGCAGCATCCCCCTGGACGAGGGGGAGGACGAGGCGCAGAGGCGGCGTAAGGGCAAGGAGGACGAGGGCGAGGAGGCCGCGTCCCCGATGCTACAGGTGCGGCCTCGGCCATGGGGTCTCGGGGAGGTGACTGCTGCTCGGACATACCGTGTCCGCCAGGTGGCTGCGACTCCTGGGGAAGCCCAGCCATAGCGGCTGCAAGAGCCAGGGCACGTGTGGGGAGATGGCCACGGGGACCCCATGGGCACATGCGAGCCACCCGTCAGATCCGGCTGACCTCAGCAGCGGTTCCTGTGGGCCCCCCCCCCCCGGAGACACGCCCTCTTCCTGGTCATTGGTGGAAGCCAGTATTCCTGGCCACATGGTTCTTCAGAGCCATCAAGCTGGGTTTCACCCCTGAAGCTGCACCCAGAATCCCCTCAGAGCTCCCACTTCCACCTAGGGCGGGTTAGAAGGGCAGGCACCCCGTCCCCAACACACACACGCCCCCGCCCGGCTCTAAGCCCTCACTGAAGTGTCCTTGTCCTTGTCTCCTTCCAGATCCAGAGAGACGCGGCCACTATCATGCAGCCCTACTTCACGTCCAACGGCCTGGTCATCAAGGCCCTGGAGCACGCCTTCAAGCTGGAGCACATCATGGACCTGACGCGGCTCCGCTGCCTCGGCTCGCTCTTCTCCATGCTGCACCAGGCCTGCCGCAACGTGGCGCAGTACAACGCCAACCACCCCGACTTCCCCATGCAGATCGAGCAGCTGGAGCGCTACATCCAGGTCAGGGCCCCGCGGGCTCCCTCCAGGACTTGTCCATCCAGGGCAGGGCCCCCCACACGTCCATACCAGGGTGCTTGTTCCTGGAGACATACGTCCAGGCAGGGCCCCCCACGTCCACTCCAGGGTGCTTGTCCTCGGAGACTGACGCCCGGGGCAGGGCCCCCGGCGTCCTTGTACCAAGAGGCTCCACCAGTGTCCTTGTCCCTGGAGACTTGACACCTAGCTCGACTCCCTCCCCCACACTATCCTCATCCCTGGAGACTGACATCCATGTTTATTCCCTGCCCCATGCTCCCCCAGTGTCCTTGTCCCAGAGTCTGACGTCCAGGTCAGCTCCCTGTTCCCCACTGCCTCCACACCGCCCCCAGCCCTCCAGTCCTTGTCCCCAGAGGCTGACGGCAGGTCGGCTTCCTTCCCCTGCTCCCCGTGTCCTCATCCTTCAAGATGTCCAGGTCGGCTCCCCGCCCCCACTCCCCAGATATCCTCATCCCCAGAGACTGATGCCAGGGCAGCATCACACTCTCACCTACCTGAGCAGCTGTGTCCCTGGATCCCTCCAGCCAGGTTAGGGCCCTCACTCACGCACTCACCCGCCTTACCAGGACCTCACCCCTGGAGAGAAGGTCAGTCAGTGCTCATAGGCTGGGGCAGGTGCCCAAGTGCCAGGATCCCAGGATGAGGGGGGCCTGCCCCCTTCCAGCTTAATGTTGCTGTATGTGCCTAATTTTGTTGTTCAGACTTTGATTCTGACCTGAGGTCATATGCTCCTCCCACAGCGCTATCTGGTCTACGCCATCCTTTGGTCCTTGTCTGGGGACAGCCGGCTGAAAATGAGAGCAGAGCTGGGTGAATACATCCGGAGAATCACAACCGTGCCACTGCCCACAGCGCCCAACGTCCCCATCATCGACTATGAAGTGAGCTCATGGCCCGTCCCCAGAGGCTTAAGGGGGGCACGAGTCCTGGGGCTGCCTGGCCCAGCCTTTCCTTCCCCATGTCTCGCCCTCCTGGTTTTGGGCAGCCCTTGAGGGAAAGCTCTGGTCTTAGAGAGAGCAGGCTCAAGGCCGAGGAGGCGCACGGGGGTTGGTGCTGAGTGGTCGCCCTTCCATTCAGGTCTCCATCAGCGGGGAATGGTCACCGTGGCAGTCCAAGGTGCCGCAGATCGAGGTGGAGACACACAAGGTAGCAGCTCCCGACGTGGTGGTGCCAACGCTGGACACGGTCCGCCACGAGGCACTCCTGTACACCTGGCTGGCTGAGCACAAGCCGCTGGTGCTGTGTGGCCCCCCTGGCTCTGGCAAGACCATGACACTCTTCAGTGCCCTCCGGGCCCTACCTGACATGGAGGTGAGGGGCTGCCGTGGACAACGGCGGCCTCGTGTCTGGCGGGATGTCCTGGTGTACAGCGGGTCCCCTGGTGTCCGGCAGAATGTCCTGGTGTCCAGCAGGTCCTGTGATGTCTGGCGGGTCCCATGGTGTCTGGCGGGTCCCCTGGTGTCTGGCGGGTCCCTTGGGTCCGGCAGGATGTCCTGGTGTCCAGCGGGATGCCCTTCTTGAACTTGTTTTTGTTTGTTACCGATAAAGGTTGTGGGTCTCAACTTTTCAAGCGCCACCACCCCAGAGCTCCTCCTGAAAACCTTTGACCACTACTGTGAGTACCGCCGCACGCCCAACGGGGTGGTGCTGGCGCCCGTCCAGCTCGGCAAGTGGCTGGTGCTGTTCTGTGATGAGATCAACCTGCCCGACATGGACAAATACGGCACCCAGAGGGTCATCTCCTTCATCAGGCAGGTGGGTGCAGTCCACTGTACCCGCATTTGTCCTGCTCTGGGTTCCCCCAGAGCTCGTTCATGACCTGCTCGCCTGCACTCACTGCCTCACCTGCTGTGTCCTCGTAACGCTGATTTATGTGTTCACCGTCCTCACCCACTGTCCCCTCAGTGCTGCTAGTTCACCCCACTCATGCTGTGTGTTCCCAGATGGTGGAGCACGGGGGCTTTTACCGAACCTCTGACCAGACGTGGGTGAAGCTGGAGCGAATCCAGTTTGTGGGGGCCTGCAACCCGCCCACAGACCCAGGGAGGAAGCCGCTCTCACACAGGTACGTGTGTCTCAGGGGACATCACTGGACTCACACAGTGAGAGAGAGTGGGTGTAGACCCTGCATGTCTTGTTCACCTCCGAGCTCCTCCGGGGCGGCCGGTGCTGTGCTCACTCCAGGAAAACGTGCTCCGAGTGGAGTGCGCTGCTCCCCGAGTTCGTCGTGACCCAGCCCACACCCACTGCTGTTGCCTGTGTCCTGCCCACAGGGCTCCCCGGCGGGTTTCTGGGGCTTTCTGGGGGATTCGGCTTCCGCTTTCTCCAGCAAACCAGCTGGTAGATTGGAACCCCCAACCTTTAGCAGCACAGCGTGTAACACGTCACGAGGCTCCTCGACAAGGCAGTCACTCTCTCCTCTTGGGCTGGGTGTTCAGTCACTGCCCTGTGTCGTGGGGGGGCACCAGGCTGCCGTCTGGGGAGCATTCTCGGCTGACCACCCAAGCCACAGTGGGTGGAGGGGAGGCTCCCCCAGTCTCCGTGGGGTACCCCAGCTTCTCTGGAGTCAGCATGGCGTGGGATGCTGACCGGGCGCCTGTTGCAGGTTCCTCCGCCACGTGCCTGTTGTGTACGTGGACTACCCCGGGCCCGCGTCGCTCACCCAGATCTATGGCACCTTCAACCGCGCCATGCTGCGCCTCATCCCGTCCCTGCGCACCTACGCCGAGCCGCTCACGGCTGCCATGGTGGAGTTCTACACCATGTCCCAGGTACACACGGGCCTCCGAGGGCTCGGGCCCACCTCTGCGGGCGCCTTGGGGTGTCTCCTGTGCAAAGACTTGATCCCTTTACGAGGCAGGATCATGCTGAGGGCTGAGTCGTCAGAGCCCACCTCTGCGGGTGCGTTGGGGTGCTGTCCTGTGCACAAACTCAACCCCTTTACGAGACAGGCTGTGCTGAGGGTTCGGACAGGAGCTGTGACCCTCTAAGGCACAGACACGTCCTCCTCTGGCTGCTCTGATGTGTTGGTGACGCTCTTCCTGTCACAGCACTCAGGAGGGCAGTGCCCCTCCCACACCCTCCCTGCCTTTACATTGTTTCTTTAAAATACTGCTAATCTTTTTATTGTCCGAGTTCTACTTGGTTATTAGATTTCTGTCTCACGTCCATGCCGAGACAGGCTGCTGGTCAGTAGCTTGGCCTTTCATAGTCTTTCAGGGAACAGAGGCTTTTTGTTTCCATGAGGTCCTGCTTGCTGTCCTGTGCATTTGTCGTTGTGTCAGGTAATCCCTGGTTGAGGGCAGGCCTGACAGGGTTCTCCCTGCTTCATCCTCTGAGGTGTTCAGGCTTGCGTCTGTGTAATTTGTTTTTCTGAGTGATGTAAAGCTGCGTCTGTGTGTTTCCTGTCACCATCTTCTCCCCTGATGAGAACAGTACCGCGCCCTTGTCAAGGTCAGCTGACCGCAGGGTGTGGGTTTGCTTCTGGACTCGTGGTTCACGCCAGCACAGGACCCTCTGATTTCTGCAGCTGGACGGAGTGTCGCCCACGCTGTACGGCCTCCCACTCTGTTCAGTCAATGTCGCCTTCTCTCTTCAGGGCCTCTGTACAGTCCATGTGAAGTTAAAGACGGATTGTCCTATTTCTGTAAAGAAAGCAGTTTGATTTCCTCCCCCTCCTCAAGAATATAGATTGTGTCACAGATCTGCCTGTCGTCCTCACATGACGGTATTGCTGTAATTGTCGTCTGTGTGCCTCTGAAGTCAGCACAGCTGTTTCGGGTCAGTGTTACCCTGAACCTGTATGTTTCTTGGGTACCCCTGCCATCTCAATAGCACTAAATCCATGAGCCTGGGAAATCTTTCCGTTTACTAGGGCTTCTTGAATTTCTTACAGCATTTTGTAGGTTTTGTTTGTCTGGGTTTTTAGCGTTTTGTAGTTTTGCTGTGTGGGTCTCTCATGTCCCTGGCTCGATACATTTCTAGGTATTTGATTCTTGTAGATGCTGTTGTAAGAGTTTCCCCTTTGGGTTTCTCACTGCTGGTGCAGGAAGCCCAGGGGTTACTCTGTGACTTTGCTGTATCACCTGTTAGCTCTAATAATTTTTCTGTGGATCTGGGGCTGTCTACGTGGGATCATGTTCGTGACTAGGGATACCTTTCCTGGCTTTCACTTGATCCCTTTTATTCTGTTTCTTGTCTTCGTGCGCCTGTGAAGCCTTCTAAGGCAGCATGGTGTAGCTGTGGGGGTGTGGACGCCCTCTCCTTGCGCCGGTTTCCAGGGGAGAGCTCCATCTCGTTCCGCTGACTGTAGTGTTGGCCAGTGGCGGTTCAGCGTGTCCTGAGTCGTACTGGAGACTTCCCTTTCTCTCCTGGCTGCGTTAGGGCTTCGTCAGAGGAGGATGTGGGCTTTGTCACGTGCTCGCTCTGTCCACTGAGTCGATGGTGCGGTTACTCGCTTGTTCATTTGGCCTGTCAGCGTGACCCAGCCTGTTGAGTGGTTTTCTAACAGTGACCAGCCTGGCCGTGGTGCAGGCCTGGTAACATGCCGTCGGGTTGTTTTCTCACTCCTCTGTGTTCGCGGAGACACTGGCCTGTGGTGCCTGGGTGTGTGACTCCGCTTTCCGACCCCGCAGGAGAGGTTCACTCAGGACACACAGCCTCACTACATCTACTCACCCCGAGAGATGACCAGGTGGGTGAGGGGCATCTTTGAAGCACTGCGGCCCCTGGAGACCCTGCCGGTCGAAGGCCTGATCCGGATCTGGGCACACGAAGCCCTCCGTCTCTTCCAGGACAGGTGAGCAAAGCCACGTCCCCACCAGCTTTGAGGGTTTCTTACTGGCCTGTGCCTCCGAGCTCACACTGCGGGTCCCGCTCCGTGGTGCCTGGCACTTAAAGACACCGAGCGGGCAGATCACGTTCCAGATTCTTAATGGAATTGATCATGGCAGTGGAACTTAGACCATGCTGTGGTTTGATATTTGCCATCAAACATGAGATTGCCACGGTAGCCTTGAGTTCAGAGTCTTGGGTTCCTCCGTTGTTGGAAGAGGCAGCCTGTTCCCACCCTTTGGGTAGCTTCCCACACTCCCCACTGTCTGTGTTCCCCCATCCCACTCTTGGGGTTCCTCCCCAGGCTCGTGGAGGACGAGGAGCGGCGCTGGACGGACGAGAACATCGACATGGTGGCCCTGAAGCACTTCCCGAACATCGATAAGGAGAAGGCTATGAACCGTCCCATCTTGTACAGCAACTGGCTGTCCAAGGTACCGACCCCTCACACAGGAGCGCCCCTCCAGGGGTGACCCTCACCTGGCACTTCTTGGTCCGGGAGTGCAGGGGAGCCAGGCCGTGGCAGGACAGGATGTGTGAATGTGTGCCGCTGTCCATACCGAGCCAGGGCACCTGCAGAGCAAGCTGGTTGACCCCCTGTGGTCTCCACTCAGAGGCAGCTAATGCTGGAGGGAAAAGTCAGGGCTTCACCTGGTGCTGACTTCCTTCTTGGTGAAGGTTTAGGGAAAATGTTCCGTGTACTAAATGCTAAATGACCAATACTTCAGGTTAGCAGTGCATTTTGTTTTCTCAGAAGAGGATGTTGTTGTTGTTGTTGTTATATGCCGTCGAGTTGCCTGTGACTCATAGCGACCCTATGTACAGTAGCCCTAAACTCTGCCCTATTGTGTGCCAATCTCACCTTCTACACACCTGCCCCTCTTGTTACCCCAGTCACTGAATCCATTCATCTCGTTGAGGGTCTTCCTCTCCTGCACTGTCCCTCCACCCTCCCAAGCATGATGTCCCTCTCCAAGGACTGGTCCCTCCTTGCAACATGTCCAAAGTATGTCAGACAAAGCTTCAGAATCCTTGTCCCCAAGGAGCAGCCTGGCTTCACCCTCTCCAGGATGAACCTGTTTGTTCTTCTAGCAGTTCATGGTATATTCAGTACTCTTCTCCAGCACCACAGCTCAAAGGCATCAATTCTTCTATCCTCCCTAGTCATTGTCCAGCTCTCCGATGCATAGCAGGTGATTGCAAAGACAAAAGGATGTTAGGACAAGTTTTTGTCAGCTGGAGGTCCAAATGATTAAGGACTGGGCTGCTAGGCTGAAAGGTTGGAGGTTCGTGCTCACCCAGGCGTGCCTAGGATGAGAGACCTGGAGACCTCTCCTTCAGGGGAACAGCCCGAAACCCCGTGGGATAGGTGTGGTCTGAGGCTCAGAGGCTGCTGGGAGGTCATCAGTGCACTAGGGAGACAGAGACAAGTCCATTCTCCAGGCTCACTGCCTCGGGGTGTGGGGGAGGAACAACCCCCTCTGATGGACAGCACTCTGGGGCCAGGCCAGGCGGCAGGGCTGTGTGGAAACAGGCAAGGAGTGTTGGTCAGCGTGGCTGGAGTCTGCCCGGCCCTTCCCTCTTCCCTGAGGGGCAGCACCCCTGGAGGCCCACTCCTCCTCCCCAGGATGCAGGGCAGCTACCCGAGAGCCCTCATCTTCTCCTTCTCTTTATACGGCATCTTTTGAGGTTCAGGTGGTCCTCAAGTTTAATCCCCTCGTCCATCTGTCATTGAGTCTGTGTGTGGAGCGAGCTGTGGGCCATTTTCGGTTCGTCCCTCACAGACGCCCCTCCCTGTCCAGTGATAGCCACTCGCCGGTCACTGTGTTAGCACCGTCACAGCAATGTCCCTGTGCCCAGGGCTGCACTGGCCCTGCCTGTGCCACAATCCCCCACGTCTGTCTGGAAGGGTGGCCAGCATGCCTGGCTCTTCCTAGCGGGTCTGAACCCCTGACCCTTCCCTCTTTCAACTAAAATTTAGAGGTGGCCTGTTCAGGTCTCCCCGAAACCCTCCCTAACCAGCCGCTGTTGAGGTTTGGTTTGATGGAGGTGACATTTTTACAGGCATGTGTGTCTACTCAGATCGTGTCCTGGCCTGGCCTGTCCTATATGTAGCTTTCCAATATCTCTCATGACAGTCTGTATTTTCCACAAAGTTTTTCTAAGTGTTTAGATACATCTATTCCTTTATTTTGTTGTAAATGGTAGTTTTTTTAAAACTGCTTCCCCCACCACCACCACAACAGATGACTTCCTCTATGAGATTTTGAGGGTATGTTTGCTTGGGTTTTGCTAGGACTACATCCCAGTAGACCAGGAAGAGTTACGAGATTACGTCAAAGCCAGGTTGAAGGTCTTCTATGAAGAGGAGCTGGATGTCCCACTGGTCCTGTTTAATGAGGTCTTGGACCACGTGCTCAGGATTGACCGGTGAGCTTGTTGTCCGTCCACCCCCGACTCCACAGTTCTGTGCTCCCTGCTCCGCCTCGGCCCTGTCCATCAGGCAGTGCCCCTGGCCCTCCTTTCTCGCCCAGCTTCTGTCATCAACTCTCCTGCCCTCCTCATGTTTGATGCCATAACTCAACCTCTCAGTGTACTGGAGAGCTCTGGTGGCGCTGGGAGTAAACCTTGGGTTTTGAAGGCGCCAGCACCTTCTGGGGAGGAAGAAGAGGCAGTTTGTAGAAGTCTTTTCAGCCTTGGAGCCCCTGCAGGGCCGAGGAGTCAGAGAGGACTCGCTGCATAAGCTCATACCAGGGTCGGGTCCGTGATGCCTCTGAGCGTCCTTGATGGGCAGGACCAGCTTGCATGATCAACATCCTCACTGGACCTGGCACCTAACACCTAACACACAAGTTCATGTGAAAACAGAGCCCAGGCCCTGAAGGTTAGGATGTGCGTCATGAGTGTGGATGGGACTGGAAAGCCTTCTCATTGGCCCCTCTGTTGACATTTCAGGATATTCCGTCAGCCTCAGGGCCACTTGCTTCTAATCGGCGTGAGCGGTGCAGGGAAGACAACCCTGTCCCGTTTTGTTGCCTGGATGAACGGCCTGAGTGTGTATCAGATCAAGGTAGGTGCGCCCTCCGCTCCCCGCTGCGTGCTCGTGTCACACACCTCCCGCTCAGGTGAGAACGGGCCTCTCCTGCTGCCCGCTTCCAGGTCCACAGAAAGTACACCGGGGAGGATTTTGATGAGGATCTTCGGACAGTGTTGAGGCGCTCTGGGTGCAAAAATGAAAAGATAGCCTTTATAATGGATGAGTCCAACGTGCTGGACTCTGGCTTCTTGGAACGGATGAACACGCTGCTGGCCAATGGCGAGGTAATTGGGGGCCCGGTTGTGTCCCGTGCGTGGGGTGTTGGGGCCCGTGTGTGGGGCGCCATGCGTGGGGTGCCAGGGGCTCGTGCATGGGTTGTCGTGAGCCTGTGTGTGGGTGCCGGAGGCCCGTGCCCAGGCCCGGTGGCTGCAGTGACGGTTGTGTTGATGTCCGCAGGTGCCTGGTCTCTTTGAAGGAGACGAGTATGCGACTCTGATGACACAGTGTAAGGAGGGGGCGCAGAAGGAGGGCCTGATGCTAGACTCGCATGAGGAACTGTACAAATGGTTCACCAGCCAGGTCATCCGCAACCTGCACGTCGTGTTCACCATGAACCCCTCGGCCGAGGGCCTCAAGGACCGGGCGGCCACGTCACCAGCGCTCTTCAACAGGTAGCCCTGAGCCCCGCACCTGGAGGCCTGGCTGCTTCCCTAGGGCCTGCCGGCCTGGGCAGTGTGCCTGAGGTGCGGCGTCTCCCCCAGGTGCGTGCTGAACTGGTTTGGAGACTGGTCCACCGAGGCGCTCTACCAGGTCGGCAAAGAGTTCACCAGCAAGATGGACTTGGAGAAGCCCAACTACATCGTCCCCGACTACATGCCGGTCGTGTACGACAAGCTCCCGCAGCCCCCGTCCCACCGGGAGGCCATCGTCAACAGCTGCGTGTTCGTGCACCAGACGCTGCATCAGGTGGGTGCCCTGCTCAGGTCAGCGGCAGGGAAGCAGAACTGAACTGACAGTCCTGCTCACACGAGTCCAGCTGAGTGGACACGGCGCTGCTGGGACTTCATGTCCAGCCCTCACTGTCACCTTGGAGAGAAATCGCTGTTTCTCAGCCACCTCCTGGCCTCTGTCAGTGACATCTCGGGGGTCTTGTCCCCTGACCCATTTCCTGCCCCCATAGAGCACCCTTCCCCACAGTGACCACTGCCCTCCCTGTCAAGGAGGTGGCTGAGTCTGGAGGCCTGCTGGTGGTGGTCCTGGTGCCAGCACACTTTTTTCTGTAAAGGACCATGTAGCAAGTGCCACCACTGCTGGGTAGCTGTCCCAGGTCGGCAGCAGTGCAGACACCTGAGGCTGTGGGCGTGGCTGTGTGTCCACAGAGCTTCCGCCCTGGCCGAGTGTCACCCAGGCTGGGATGCCGGCTCTAATTCTTCGCGGGACCCGCCTGCTTCCTCTGCCAGGAGCTTCCTGCTGGCCAGTCCTGTGTCACTTTGCCTTTTCATGCAGTTTCTAGCTTCCACTTCCTTTAAAGAAAGCATGAAAGGAAACACAGGCACCACTAGAGTTTTCATAAACATCACAGCTGGTCACATATAGTGCAGCAGTGAGCTTGGCACACCGTCGGCCACACTGTAGAGAAGTTCAAGGCTGCGTGGGGCAGGGCTTCCTGAGGGTCTGTGGCTGACAGCCAGGCCCCTGCCCTGGGCCTAGCTCCTGCCCTGGGCCTAGCTCCTGCCCTGGGCCTAGCTCCTGCCCTGGGCCTAGCTCCTGCCCTGGGCCTAGCTCCTGCCCTGTGTCTGGTGTGAGCCAACAAGGGACTGAGGTCAGATAGGAATGGACAACCTGAGTTGAGAGCAGTTTCATTCTTGAAAGGCGAATGCTCGGCTGGCAAAACGCGGCGGCAGGACAATGGCCATCACCCCCCGCCACTACCTGGACTTCATCAACCATTACGCCAACCTCTTCAACGAGAAGCGCAGCGAGCTTGAGGAACAGCAGATGCATCTGAACGTCGGGCTGCGCAAAATCAAGGAGACGGTCGACCAGGTGTGGCTTCCTGCCGGCAGCGTGTGACCGAGAGGGCTCCTGGCGGGAGGGCCCTGGGCAGACGTGCAGGTGGCCAGGAGGGCCCAAGGCAGGACTGCCTAGGTGGACAATGCAGGTGGACGGGAGGGCCCCAGGTTGGAGGTCACCCTGGGCGGACATGGGGTGGACCGAAGGGCCCCAGGTGGGAAGATCCTGGGCGGGAGAGCACCCTGGGTGGACATGCGGATGGACGGGAGGACCCCGGGCGGTCAGGAGTTCTGGCTGCCGCCATCCTGACCAGCCGGCTCTTGTTCGCAGGTGGAAGAGCTGCGCCGGGACTTGCGGATAAAGAGCCAGGAGCTGGAAGTAAAGAACGCTGCCGCCAACGACAAGCTGAAAAAGATGGTGAAAGACCAGCAGGAAGCAGAAAAGAAGAAGGTACTTCCTGTCCTCCCTGAGCTCCGCGTGGCTTGGGTTCCAGGGAGAACGGGGACTTTGTCTGACTCGGCGTCCAGGGTGCAGGTCCTGGTGATAAACGCTGGCTGCCAGCGGAGCTCAGCCGTCCACGCCTGCGGGCATCTGCCTCCCAGAGATGACCGCTTTAGAAACCTTAGGGGCGTCCTTACCACTGCACCACCAGGGTCACTGGTCGGTTGGTGAGGGAGCCCTGGTGGCGCAGCGGTTAGGATCATGGCAGCTAGCTAGAAAGGCCAACGGCTCAGACTCACAGGCTGCTCCGGTGAAGGAAGTGTGACAGTCTACTTCCAAAAAGACCACAGCCGCAGAACCTGTTCTGCACTGGCCTGTGGAGACCCTGCGAGTGGGGGGATTGTTCCGATTGTCCCTATGAGTGGGGGTCCACTCAGCACAGGGAGTGCAGGGTGAATGTTCCAGATTCTCTCATTGAGCTGGAGCCGAGCCGCCTTGCCTCCTAGGTCATGAGCCAGGAAATTCAGGAGCAGCTGCACAAGCAGCAGGAGGTCATCGCAGACAAGCAGATGAGCGTCAAGGAGGACCTGGACAAGGTGGAGCCTGCGGTCATCGAGGCCCAGAACGGTAGGCAGCACAGCCGTGCCCGGAGTCAGGCGCCTGCCGTGGGGAAGCACAGCACAGCTACTGTGAAGCCAGGCTGATTGTGCTAATGAACTCTTCTCCAGAGGGGAGGGGCGGGAGCTTCCCGGTGGGTCACGTGCTGTTAACGTCATAGTCACGCTGTTTACCAATTCCTGACTCGACTTCCCCAGGAAGCCCCACAAAACACAGTACTGGGGACCCAGGATGGATGTCTGAGGACAGGCAGGAGTTGAGGCCCCCTCCTCCCCACCCCTGTGCCTGCCCCTCAGTCCAGCTGCGGAGTGACCGAGAACAACCCTAACCCTCTACCCCTTCTCACCTGCACATAACTTGGCCTCTCACACGGTCCACACAGAGTCCACTCACAGCCCCAAGGGGACAGAAACGACTGGGTTCAGGACCACCTGGCCTGCAGCTGGCCTTCCTGAGCCTTTGCCGAGTAACGGCAGTAGTGGCATTTCACGCTGTCAAAATAAATACGTGTTCTGGTTTGTGGAAGACACTGACATCGATGAGCTTTTAGAACTGCTCATTCCACACCTTCACTCGGCTCCTTAAACAGCTTCTGAAGTGTGGCAGATTTTATAACATTTTTGCTGGAAATTCTATGAAACATCCACACAGTTAAACATCCTAAAATCCATGTGGAGATGAGGGAGTTTGAACTTTCAGGGAATTTGAAGGCAGTGTGGTGCTGTGGTATGACGTGTCAGGCTGCTAACTGAAAGGTTGGTGGTTCAAATCTACTGGCTGGTCCAAGGGAGACAGAAGGGCAGTCTCCTCGCAGAACAATGTGCCCCGTCAAACGCCCGGTGAAGAGCGGCCGCGGGTTACAGCAGCCTGCTGTCAGGACTCTGCCCCGGCCTGCTCAGTGACCGGCGTCTCCACGTGTAAAAGCTCAGCTGCCCAGGCCTCCTGTGCGGGCTCAGCCCTTTCACTGCCCTCTCCTTCCTCCCCTGTGGCCCTCAGCCGTCAAGTCCATCAAGAAGCAGCACCTGGTGGAGGTGCGCTCCATGGCCAACCCGCCCGCCGCTGTCAAGCTGGCGCTGGAGTCCATCTGCCTGCTGCTGGGGGAGAGTACCACCGACTGGAAGCAGATCCGCTCCATTATCATGCGCGAGAACTTCATCCCCACCATCGTCAACTTCTCCGCTGAGGAGATCAGGTGAGGCCGCGCCTCGGACGTGGCGCCAGGGAGCCCTGTGGAAGCCAGGAGGCAGTGGAGCGGCCGTGACCACACAGCAGTCCCCTAGACGCTGTCCCTGCCCCGCGACAGCGGTCAGAGCAGTGAGCCACTGCCCGGCCGCAGCAACCCAGGCCCCGAGCCTGTCTGCAGCTTCCTGCGGGTGAGGGGGACTCGACAGCAGCATGGGCCACTCGGCCCTGAGGAATGGCGGTCTGAGTCCTCGGCCGTCACTGGGACACACGGTCCGCGGCTGGCTGTGTTACGTTCTGACTGCTCTGCTTTTGCCCTACATGTGTTTAGAGTTGTCATACTTAAAATTTACGTAAAATTTACAGCGATGCCATTCGGGAGAAGATGAAGAAGAACTACATGTCCAACCCCAGTTACAACTACGAGATCGTCAACCGGGCCTCCCTGGCCTGCGGCCCCATGGTCAAGTGGGCGATTGCGCAGGTAAGGCCGCAGCCGGGCCTGGGTGTGCGGTGGCCCTGGGCCGTCACCGTGGTGTGACCGAGCCTGGCCCGCCCCTGCAGCTCAACTACGCAGACATGCTGAAGAGGGTGGAGCCCCTGCGGAACGAGCTGCAGAAGCTGGAGGATGACGCCAAGGACAACCAGCAGAAGGCCAACGAGGTGGAGCAGATGATCCGCGACCTGGAGGCCAGCATCGCCCGCTACAAGGAGGAGTACGCCGTGCTCATCTCGGAGGCCCAAGCCATCAAAGCTGACCTGGCCGCCGTGGAGGCCAAGGTGAGCCAGTGCGCCCAGAGCCCCGGCTGGTGACGGTGCCTTTGCAGGAGGGGGACGCCGAGATAAAACGCTTCACCGCGTGCTCGGGCACCCTCGAGGCCCCGGCAAAGTCGCTCTGTGGACTTTGTCAGCGTCCTGGAGGCTTCTGGGAAGGATTCCATACTGAGTGTTGCCTGAGTCGTGTTAGTTAATCGGTACCTCACAGAGCGGGACAGCCTCTTCTCGCCCCACAGTCGACTGTGAGCCCTTCTTCAGGCTTCGTAACTGCTCTCACCAAACGTCTCCTCAGGGGGTCGCTTACCGTTCATCGCCATCCCTTTGCCACCTGCTTCTCCCCATCCTCACATTCGACCACAGACCTCTCCCCTCCACCCTGAGCAGCCGCCTGCGCCACCCAGGCTGGAGGCTCGTCCTCTGTGGATGATGACATCTGTGCTGTCCTTAGTCAGCTTTCTCAGACACACGCACACAGGCCTGCCAGCAATGGAGATGAGCTGGACATACACAGGCAGACAGACACACACACAGCGGCCAGATGGACAGATACACAGCACCTGCCAGTAATGGAGATGAGCTGGACATACACAGGCAGACAGACAGACACACAGCGGCCAGATGGACAGATACACAGCACCTGCCAGTAATGGAGATGAGCTAGACACACACAGGCAGACAGATGGACAAGACGCCCACGGCGGGGACGTGTGCACCCTGACCCCACAGCTCTGAGCAGGTGACTGAAGGCCCTCCTCCCCTCAGGTGAACCGCAGCACCGCTCTCCTGAAGAGTTTGTCTGCCGAGCGAGAGCGATGGGAAAAAACAAGCGAAACGTTCAAGAACCAGATGTCGACCATCGCCGGAGACTGCCTCCTTTCGGCTGCGTTCATCGCCTACGCCGGGTACTTCGACCAGCAGATGCGTCAGAACCTGTTCACCACCTGGTCCCATCACCTCCAGCAAGCCAACATCCAGGTACCAGCCGTCGGGTGTCAGTCTCGGGATGGCAGTGCGTCTGCCTGCTGTGCGCGTGAGGAGAGGGTGGCCCGGGAGCCTGCTGGGGTCGTGACCGGGACGCCGGCGGTCGCCCTCCCTCAGTTCCGCACGGACATCGCGAGGACCGAGTACCTGTCCAACGCCGACGAGCGGCTACGCTGGCAGGCCAGCTCTCTGCCCGCCGACGACCTGTGCACGGAGAACGCCATCATGCTGAAGCGCTTCAACAGGTGCGGCACACATGGGCCCCGCTGACGGCTGCAGTCCAGTTCACGTGTTTAAGTCGCCCCTTTGTGAAGGCCTGGGGGTTGGGTGGGCGGTGTGACAGGGCCACGGCAGCCAGCAGCAGGGGGTGTTGGGGATGGATTCCGCTTCCCCGCCCGCTGGGTGGTTCTGCAGTGTGTGGTTGTCACGTGACTTTATACTGCTCATTTAGCACAGTTGCAGTTGTGTGTTTGGGCTTAGAGGTGCACTCAGTCCCTCCCTCGAAATGGTACACCATCAAAAAAGGAAAAGACATCACAGAGCCGAAGATGCCAAGCTGAATGGTTCAAGTACGGACTGTTCTACTTTTGAGTCATGACAGCAGCTCGGGGCGACCAGAGGCTGACCGTCACGGGGCAGCCCTGACCCCACAGGTCACCTCGCTGACATCACACAGTGCCCTGAGGGCTCGACGAGGCAGGCTCTGCGCCCACCAGGGTCCCAGGCCGTTGAAGCCCGTGCTGCCGCTGCCTCGCAGCCTCCTCAGTGGCCTGACTGCTCTGGTCTCCTGTGTTCAGGTACCCGCTCATCATCGACCCCTCTGGACAGGCCACAGAGTTCATCATGAATGAGTACAAGGACCGGAAGATCACCCGCACCAGCTTCCTGGACGACGCCTTCAGGAAGAACCTGGAGAGCGCACTGAGGTTCGGGAACCCGCTGCTGGTCCAGGTGCGTGGCCTCACCGGTCCTCAGACCCCAGGGCGTCGGAAATTCCCCTCGGATGCGGGTGTAGCGAGTGTCCAGCCCGGCACCGTCCACTAGGACTCCCGCTGGGCAGGGCTGGCCGGCGGCTGCTTACAGACCCGAGCCACAGCGTTTACTGGGTCAGCCAGAGCAGGCCTCGACGGTGGGGTGGCTTCGAGGAGGGAGGCGTTGCGTGGAGTGGGGAGTCGCTGCTAAGCCATCGTTGGGGGTGCACTGTTCCCTGACGCTGACTGACTGCCGTCTGGACATCTGTAGGACGTGGAAAGCTACGACCCAGTTCTGAACCCGGTCCTGAACCGTGAAGTTCGGCGAACGGGCGGGCGGGTGCTGATCACGCTTGGGGACCAGGACATAGACCTGTCGCCCTCGTTCGTCATCTTCCTGTCCACCAGAGACCCCACGGTAAGGAGCGCGGCGGCCGCACAGGGACGGGGCTGTTCCTCAGCGTCCATCCAGACTAACAGCAGACCCCCCTCTGCCGCGGCAGGTTGAGTTCCCACCGGACCTCTGCTCTCGGGTCACTTTCGTCAACTTCACCGTCACCCGGAGCAGCTTACAGAGCCAGTGTCTCAACGAAGTGCTGAAAGCAGAAAGGCCTGATGTGGACGAGAAGCGGTCCGACCTCCTTAAACTGCAAGGTGCCGCCCTGGCCCGCGGTGGACGGGCTCTGGTGCAGGTGGGAGTCGGGGAGCCGGGGCCAGGACGTGAGCACGTGCTCATGACAGCGTCTCTGTCACAGGGGAGTTCCAGCTGCGTCTGCGACAGCTCGAGAAGTCCCTGCTGCAGGCCCTGAACGAGGTCAAGGGCCGCATCCTGGACGACGACACCATCATCACCACCCTGGAGAACCTGAAGCGGGAGGCGGCCGAGGTCACCAGGAAGGTGGAGGAGACGGACATTGTCATGCAGGAGGTGGAGACGGTGTCTCAGCAGTACCTGCCGCTATCCACAGCCTGCAGCAGCATCTACTTCACCATGGAGTCCCTGAAGCAGGTGATGGTCCCCCCACAGTTGGCAGGGGACAGCGTGGGGGCAGCAGGAGCTGCCACCTCACGGCTGTGCAATGCCTGCCTTCCAGATCCACTTCCTGTACCAGTACTCCCTGCAGTTCTTCCTGGACATCTACCACAACGTCCTGTACGAGAACCCCAACCTGAAGGGGGTCACGGACCACACCCAGCGCCTCTCCATCATCACCAAGGACCTCTTCCAGGTAGGGCCGCCCCGGGCCTCACCTGCCCATCTCCATGTCACCTCCCCGCTCTGAGTGAGCCTCACCTCCTCTCTCTCTTGGTGCCAGGTGGCATTCAACCGCGTGGCCCGCGGCATGCTGCACCAGGACCACATCACCTTCGCCATGCTGCTGGCAAGGATCAAGCTCAAGGGCACCATCGGGTGAGCACCTGGCGGCACGGGCGCACTGTCATGGGGCATCTGCGACAGGTACTAACCTCTGTGTCCTGCAGGGAGCCCACCTATGACGCCGAGTTCCAGCACTTCCTGCGGGGGAAGGAGATTGTGCTGAGCGCAGGCTCGACCCCCAAGATCCAGGGCCTCACCGTGGAGCAGGCCGAGGCCGTCGTGCGCCTGAGCTGTCTGCCTGCCTTTAAAGACCTGATCGCCAAGGTGCAGGCCGACGAGGTGAGTGTGCCGAGTTCCCAGGAGACCAGCGGTCAGACAGACCAAAATTATCTCATCGGACACCACTCACAGCCCTGTTCTCATCTTCCAGCAATTCGGCATCTGGCTGGACAGCAGCTCCCCAGAGCAGACAGTGCCGTACCTGTGGAGCGAGGACACCCCTGCAAGTAGGTCACCCAGCCACGCCCTCCCCCACAAACACGTCAGTGTCAGCTGTTCAGGGGACCACGTTGGGAGACGGCTTCTGGACAGAGGCTTGCTGAGGAGGGAGGGCCCAGCTGTCCCCATTGCTGTGGGAGTGGCCCCTCAAGAGGGGCAGGTGGCATCTTCAGGCCATCTCTGAACGTTGACCAGTAGCTGGGCTGAAGTGGAGGGAGACACGGCCACCACATGTCAGCATGGCCAACCCGAGCCGCCCCCTTCAGTCTCCTGAAAAGGTTCACATGTCTGCAGAGAAATCAGAGATGATGTGCCGTGGCCTCAGAGAAGGCCCAGGGCTGGGTGGGCATGGATCCAGTCCTGCTGGGCTGGGCAGGCAGAAGGGTGGGGTGCTGGCCAGGCCCAGGCTGGAGCCCACCCAGGCGGCGCTTGTGGGAGGAGCAGCCCTCAAGTGCCATGGTCCCAGCCCGCCCGCCTCCTTCCAGCTCCCATCGGCCAGGCCATCCACCGCCTGCTGCTGATCCAGGCCTTCCGCCCCGACCGCCTGCTGGCCATGGCCCACATGTTTGTGTCCACAAACCTCGGCGAGTCCTTCATGTCCATCATGGAGCAGCCGCTCGATCTGACCCACATCGTGGACACAGAGGTAGTGCCCTCACCTCCTGGGCCCCCATTTCCTGCCCACAGACCCTCCTGGGCTGCATCCCTGTGGATTATTCCACCTAGCTCCTCTGGACGTGGAGGATGCCACCTGGACAGAGGCCCTCCTGGTGGCATGCCATCTGATCCGGTTGGCCACCTTTGCAGGTGAAGCCCAATACTCCTGTGCTGATGTGCTCCGTGCCCGGCTATGACGCCAGCGGGCACGTGGAAGACCTGGCAGCCGAGCAGAACACGCAGATCACCTCCATCGCCATCGGTAAGGGGCTCACGGGTATGCTCGGTGTCACAGGCCCCACTGCCCTGGAAGGCCAGGCCTCCCTCACTAAGGCTCTGCTTCCCGTCCAGGCTCGGCCGAGGGCTTCAACCAGGCGGACAAGGCGATCAACACGGCTGTCAAGTCTGGCAGGTAGGTTTGGGCCTGTGCCCCGAGATCCCCGGGCCCAGCGTGGGCGGGCAGGGCTGCCACACGGTCTCGCTGTGTGCAGGTGGGTGATGCTGAAGAATGTGCACCTGGCGCCCGGCTGGCTGATGCAGCTGGAGAAGAAGCTGCACTCCCTGCAGCCGCACGCTTGCTTCCGGCTCTTCCTCACCATGGAGATCAACCCCAAGGTGGGTGTGAGGGGAGGGCGGGGGTGCTGCCACCGAGCAGGGCCTGCGTGTCAGGGGAAGGGGGCAAGTGAGGGGAGAGAGGTCCCTGTGTGCACATGCAGAGCCTGTTGAGGGGCCCGCCTGGAAGGCACCCCTATGTGTGGTTGTCAACACTTGGAACCCGCACAGGACGACGTCTTTGTGTAAACCTAAAGTGGGCGTGTTGCTTTTGAGCAGAACTTGGCTGGAATGCTGTTGTCTACAGCCTGGGCTCGTCTGTCCTTGTGCAGAGCCCTTGTGGAAGATGCTTCATTAAACCATGAGCGTGTGTGTGCGCGCTGTCACCGTGTGTGTGTGTGTGCGCGCGCGCGTGCGTGCGTGCGCGCGCTGTCACCGTGTGTGTGAGTGTGCTTGTCCTTGTTGAGCTGAGCCCGTGTGAGTGGGTGACTCTGTCTGAAGTCTGTGTGTCGTTGCCCGGAACCTGCATGAAACCTGGGCGCTAACGCACCGTGCTCCCCCAGGTGCCTGTGAACCTGCTGCGCGCCGGCCGCATCTTTGTGTTCGAGCCCCCGCCGGGCGTGAAGGCCAACATGCTGAGGACCTTCAGCAGCATCCCTGTCTCCAGGATCTGCAAGGTGAGGGGCTCCTGCAGCTCCTCCGTGAGGGCCTGGCCCGCCTCCAGGTGCAGGGTCTGCCTCGGGCCACCAAGCCGTGTTCTCCCCAAGGACGTTGACAGGTTCAGTCCGTCCTGCAGCTGTGGGATGGTTACCGGGTGCTGGCAGGTTCCCAGAGGGGAATGTGTTCAGTGATGCCCTGATCGAGCCCAGCGTGTGGTGCCCATGGCTCGCTGCCTTCTGGGAAGCAGAGGCCACCAGAGAGCACTCCTGCCCCCAGTACCACCCAGGAAGTCCTCGTTGGGAGCTACTCACAGGGACCACATGCTCACCGTCCAGCTCAGCTTCCTCAGCGGGTCCTGACTGTCCACACCACCCGTCTCCTCAGTCAGCCCCCAGGGGCATGTCCTCACGGCTCCTGTCCCCAGGCTGGCCCTGCTCTCTGGTGACACTGTCCTTTACCCGCACAGTCTCCCAATGAGCGCGCCCGCTTGTACTTCCTGCTGGCCTGGTTCCACGCTGTCATCCAGGAGCGCCTCAGATATGCCCCCCTGGGCTGGTCCAAGAAGTATGAATTTGGGGAGTCAGACCTGCGGTCAGCCTGTGACACTGTGGACACGTGGCTGGACGACACGGCCAAGGCAAGTGGGTGACCCCTCTCAGTACGGAGGCTCGATCGAGTGAGGAGAAAAGAAGGTGGGAAGGGCCAAGTCCTCGTGACAGTAGTCCACCCAGCCCAGCGGTCTGAGGGGCGTCTCCCAGCATCCGAGACAGGAAAGGAAGGGGCTCTCTCAGGACGTGGGGGTCAGCCCTGCTCCCTCAGTGCTCATTAGGCCAGCACTCCCCCAGGGAAGGCAGAACATCTCTCCCGACAAGATCCCCTGGTCGGCGCTCAAGACCCTGATGGCGCAGTCCATCTACGGCGGCCGCGTGGACAATGAGTTTGACCAGCGCCTGCTCAACACCTTCCTGGAGCGGCTCTTCACAACCAGGAGCTTCGACAGCGAGTTCAAGCTGGCCTGCAAGGTGGACGGGCACAAGGACATCCAGATGCCCGACGGCATCAGGTCTGAGGCCGCGGGGTCGGGTGGGGGACAGCGCAGACAGCAGCCTGGGGGCAGCCCACCCACCCGCGCTTGTGCCGCTCTTTCAGGAGAGAGGAGTTTGTGCAGTGGGTGGAGCTGCTCCCAGACACGCAGACGCCGTCCTGGCTGGGCCTGCCCAACAACGCCGAGAGGGTTCTGCTCACCACGCAGGGTGGGTAGTGGCCGTGTGCTGCCCGGGGTTCCTCCGTGGGGAGTGGTGGGGTGCTGGGAACGTGCCACCCAGAGTCCTCCCATCCTCAGTTCTGGGGGGAGCCCGGCATGTGGGTGGATGTCGCGGTTTTCATTTACTCGAGAGGTGGTTTCATACACTGAGGGGTCACATCCAAGGTGAAGGACACCGAGCTGATGGACCAGTCTCCCCGAGAATGCTCCACAAAGACGGGGCTGGGGGAGGGCGGGCTCCTCTCTGTCCGCTGGCCTGGGCGCCCAGCTTGGCTCTTTGCAGCTGATTGACTTGCGAGTTAAATGCAGCAGTCAGTTGGCCATTTTCACACGCAGGATTTAGTAGCGTGACTTGCGCGCACAGTAACCATACGCACAGCCATAGCCATCGTTGCTTCTAGAAGCTTTTCTGCTCCCTGAACGTGATCTTTGGCCCTGACACCAAGTCCCAGATGACCCTTGATGACCCCTGGTGGCCACTGGTGACTGATCTCCGTTCCATGGCCTGTTCTAGTTGTCACCTGAGTGCGGTCTGGCCTGGGAGGGGCCTGTGCTGGGCTTGGTGACGAGTGGCCATCTGTTTACCGGGTGTTATTCTGGCCCGGCCATGGCCCGTGCCTTACAAGGGAGCCGCACTGAGCGGACGCCCCCCAGGCGCCCCCTGACCCTCCCTCTCCCCGTCCCTCCCGTGGACGCGGCTCAGGTGTGGACATGATCAGCAAGATGCTGAAGATGCAGATGCTGGAGGACGAGGATGACCTGGCGTACGCGGAGACGGAGAGGAAGACGCGCGCGGACCCCACGTCGGACGGGCGCCCCACCTGGATGAGGACGTTGCACACCACCGCCTCCAACTGGCTGCACCTGATCCCCCAGACGCTCACGCACCTCAAGCGCACCGTGGAGAACATCAAGGTGAAGGCCGGCTCAGCGGCAGGCTCCTGACCGCCCGCTGAGACAGGTGGAGTCAGGGAGGGGGTGGCCCTCCCCTGTATCGGGCGCCTCACCGCGTCCTCTCAACACCCGTAGGATCCTTTGTTCCGCTTCTTCGAGCGGGAGGTGAAGATGGGAGCCAAGCTGCTGCAGGACGTTCGCCAGGACCTGGCAGATGTGGTGCAGGTGTGCGAGGGCAAGAAGAAGCAGACCAACTACCTGCGCACGCTCATCAACGAGCTGGTCAAAGGTGCGGGCTGCCCTCGGCGCGGGCTGCGGGGCTGCGTGTGCTGAGGGCTGCCCTCGGCTCGGGTGCTGTCTACGCAGATGATTGGTGCGTGCATGTGTGCGTGAGCTGAGGGCCACTCTTAGCTAGGGGTGCTGTGTGTGTGCTGAGGGCTGTCCTCGGCTAGGGGTGTTGTGCGTGTGCTGAGGGCTACCCCAGGTCCAGGGGAGCAGTGTGTGCGTGAAGACCTAGCTTGGGCTCCTAGGTGTGCGCTGAGAGCTGTCCCCAGGCAGAGGCTCGGTGTCCACAGGTGTCCTGACAGCCGGGGATAAGTGACCAGGTGGGGGGAGCAGGCTGTGAGGAGACTGGGGGCCCAGCCACAGCGGTGCAGAGCTGGTGGACTGTGGAGATAACAGTCCTCCACCTCACCACCATGGCGGTCACCCTGGCACAGGCGGGGCTCGGGCAGCTGGGCGGGAAGCGGCGGGCAGGTGGTCATCTGCACTGGGCCCCTCCTGCAGGCATCCTCCCGCGGAGCTGGTCCCACTACACAGTGCCGGCCGGCATGACGGTCATCCAGTGGGTGTCGGACTTCAGCGAGCAAGTCAAGCAGCTGCAGAGCATCTCCATGGCAGCGGCCACAGGGGGCGCCAAGGAGCTCAAGGTGCTGCCCTGGGGGGACAGGAGGGGGCGGGGAGACGGGCCCACCTTCACACCAGGGGCTGTGGGAGGAGGCCCGCGTGACCGTCCTTGGCTGTGTCCCCATAGAACATCCACGTGTGCCTGGGCGGCCTCTTCGTGCCCGAGGCCTACATCACGGCCACGAGGCAGTACGTGGCACAGGCTAACAGCTGGTCACTGGAGGAACTCTGTCTGGAGGTCAACGTCACCACTTCACAGGGTGCCTCCCTCGATGCCTGCAGCTTCGGGGTCACAGGTGAGCTGAGGGCCGCCGGCAGCCAGCCCTCCTTGGGGGTCCTGGGCACCGTCCTGGCCTGGGTACAGATGACTTGACGTTGGAGCGTGTGTCCTGATGTGTGACTGGAGTCCGGGTGACGGTGGGGATGGGTTTGTTTACGGCTGTGGCCCTTCCGCGCCCACCTCACACCCCCGTCCTCGGGACAGGCCTGAAGCTGCAAGGGGCCACGTGCAGCAACAACAAGCTGTCGCTGTCCAACGCCATCTCCACCGTCCTCCCGCTGACGCAGCTCCGCTGGGTCAAACAGACCAACGCGGAGAAGAAGGCGAATGTGGTGAGGGCCTCGCCGAGGCCGGCGCTCCTCGGGGGGGGGGGCACTCTGTAGTGACCCCGTGGTGACAGGCAGGGCAGGGTCACTGCCTTCTCCACCTTCAGTCGCCTGGTGGCAGCCCCGCCGCTCGCCCCGTCCTGGAGGGACTGTGATGTGTGCAGGTGGTGGTTTACTGAGCTGACCTCACCTTTTTAGTGTAGAGGCTGCGAGCCAGGGTTCTCTGCTGGGTCCTCTTCCTCCTCAGTGGCCACCCAGCTCCCATTGGGCCCCAGCTACAGGGCAGGGGCAGCGCAGGTGCTCAGTGGTCCTGTGCCTCCCCAGGTGACCTTGCCTGTCTACCTGAACTTCACCCGGGCTGACCTGATCTTCACTGTGGACTTCGAGATCGCCACCAAGGAAGACCCACGCAGCTTCTATGAGCGTGGGGTTGCCGTGCTATGCACGGAGTGAGGCCCTCGCTCCCTTTGCTTTGGGCGTCTCATGTTTAACACGTGTTCGTTATTAAAACGTCCGGAAGGAGGCATGGACTCGGGGAGGTGGGAGAAGAATGTTGCTGGTCTGAGGTCGGAGGATCGAGAGCAACACAGGCAGAACGAGGAGAGGGAGGGAGGGAGGGAGGAAGCCGTATGTGTTTTTAGAGGGTTCCTCGCATGGTTGTTTCATGGAATAAAACACTAAGCATGGCCCGGCTCCTTCCTTGTCTGTCTCAGCAGCGCTGGCCCAGCCCCACTGCCCACGTGATCTGGAGTGGGGGTGCTGGGGTGACCTCTCATTGCACATTGACCACGCCTTGAACCGTGTGCACCTGTGTCAGCTCTGCCCTGCTCCCCAGCCCACATGATCTGAGGTGGGGGTGCTGGGGTGCCCCATACTGCACAGTCCTGAGCAGTGTGTGCCCCGTGTCAGCTCTACTCTGCCCCCCAGGCACTGAAGCCTGATCTTTGGACTGCTGCTCTCTGTCAGCTGGAACACCACCACCCCTGCCTCACCTGTCCATCTGCCTGTCCATCCCACACTTGGAGAAGAGTGGCCCCGAGCAGGGCTGGGCTGTACCTGCCACATCCCTCAGGGCATGGGCCACACCCCCAGCCTGGCAAACGGTCACCTGTCAGCTGCCCTCCAGAGGGTCGCACCAGCACAGGAACCCTGTCCCCACTGAGATTCCCGGCTGTAGCCCATCTCTAGGGGGCGGGCATCGTGTTAGACTTGGGGCCCTGTCAGCGTAAAGATCACGTTTCCACAGGACTGGGTGCCCTGCGTTCTCCTGGGTGGGTCCATGTACCCACAGCTGTAGCCAGGGCACAGGGCTGCCCAGGCAAGGACCCCAGGGGACGGAGAAGCCCCACACAGACCTCTGAAGGCCGTCCCATAGCCTTGCTACCCCTTCACGTACTGTGACCCTTCAGCCTTGATGCCAGTGGCTCTCTGTCCAGCAGTGGGCACTGTCCAAGTCCCCTTCCATCTCTGGACACCCGCTGTCCACAGCCCTGTTAAGTTCTCAACACCCTGACCATGCTAAACTGGCACCCTTTGAGACAAAGTTTGGTGTTTCCAGCCTCTGGGAGCAGGCGCAGGGCTGCCAGGCGATGGGTACCTGTGTCTAGCCTGGCCCCAGCCACTGAAGGAGGGAGCCTCGTGGTTGACATCACTTTATTGCCCTGAGGGACAGCGTTGCCTCGGCTGAGCTGAGGGCACCAGACTTCAACCAGAGGGCCAGCCGTAGCTGTGAAGGGCACAGACCTGCCTTCTCCGTGCTGACCTGGCTCCTGCCTGTGGACAAGAAGACCAGTGAGCAAGCCCTGGTCACCCTGAGACACAGACCCACCATTGTCCTTGGAGGTCACCTCAGAGACCCTGAAGGCAGGCATGGCTGGAGCCATGTCCACAACCACGACCCTCTCACTGTAGCGCCCAGATGGCAGTCGGGGTCCACCCGCAGTCGGGGTCCGTCTGCAGTGGGGTCCGTCTGCAGTCGGGGTCCACCCACAGTTGGGGTCCACCCGCAGTCGGGTTCATCTGCAGTCGAGGTCCACCCACAGTTGGGGTCCACCCGCAGTCGGGTTCATCTGCAGTCGGGTCCGTCTGCAGTCGGGGTGCTGGTTTGGGTCCCGTACGGTGAGGCAGGAAATGCCGATCTCCCAGTGTCTGCAGGCTGCAGAACTAACAGCGAGCTTGCCCTCTGCACAGCCCAGCTGTCCCCAGGCCTTCAACCAAGCCAAGGAGGTTCCTCTGAAGGAGAATGGGGGTGAGGTTGAGAAGGTCTCCTGGTGAAGGACAGGATTTAAAGCTTCCCCCAGAGGAGAAGGTGAGCTCAGGAAGAGAAATCGGGAAAGAAGAGAATTGGGGCTGGCCTCCCGCAAAGAGCACAGCATATTAGGGGCTCCAGGGTTCAGGGGGAGCAGGTGGAGCACATTTCTAGGGCTGAGAAGCTGTCTTCATGACATTGAAAAAGGGGCATATCTGTCACCTGATGGCGCCATTAGATCCATTGGACGGAACACACTGGACCACCACCCCCACACCCCTCACAACCCCCATATCCCCCACTCCCCGTGAGCCGTGGGCCTCAGGGCTGCACTTGTGGCAGGTGCACTGAAACACAGGTGTTCACATCAGGGAGATGAGGAACACTTGGAAATGCAGATGTTCACACCCGGAGGGGGGGTGCTGGTGGCACCATGGTTAAAGCAGTGAGTGGTCAGCAGTTCCAACTCCCCATCTAGCAGTTCCCTGAGGGGGAGATAGGGCTTCTGTTGCATAAAGACTCCCACCCAAGCCCACTGCTGCCCAACTGCCCGATTGTGTTTCTGAGGCAGTAAGTTCTCTGGAAGGAGGGTCTGAACCTCCAACCTTTCCATTAGCGGCCAAATGATTCAACCACGGTCCCACTGGGGCTACTTCCACAAATGTTTGATGCCCCCAAGTTGAGTACAGCTCACAGCGACCCCGTGAACACGAGCCCTGCACCCCGTCCTCCCCTGTGCCGTCCTCAGTCTCTTGACACCCTTCCTAGAAGAGCACAATACTTTTTATATTAGAAGTATTACCTTTTAAGAATGGTATTATTGCTTTCCAATAAGTTCTAAGGGATTTTTAAATTACTGTGATCCAGGCCATAGTCTTCACAATTGCGTGCTATGCATCGAAGATCTGAACAATGTCTAGGAATGATGCCTTTGAGCTGTGGTACTGGAGAAGAGTGTTGAATATACCATGGACTGCTAGGAGAACAAACAGGTTTGTCCTGGAGAGGGTGAGACCAGCCTGCTCCTTGGAAGCAAGGAATCTCAAGCTTTGTCTGACATACTTTGGACATGTTGCAAGGAGGGACCAGTCCTTGGAGAGGGACATCATGCTTGGGAGGGTGGAGGGTCCGCGCAGGAGAGGAAGACCCTCTGAGATGGATTGATTCAGTGATTAGGGTGATGGGAGTGTGTGAGAGACAGGTTGGCACAGGATAGAGCAGGATTTAGAGCTCTTACAAAGTAACTCTACAGCACATAACACCATCACTATTGATATCTAAAGGGAGCTCTGGGCCTAGTGGTAAAAAGCTGGGCTGCAATCCCAGGGGCATGCAGTTCAAATCCACCTGCTGCTCCACAGAAGAAGGGTGTGTAGTCTCCTCCAGGTGATTAAACTGCTTCTGAAAACCCACTGGAAGGTCAGCTATGAGCTGGTTCTGACTTGATGGCAAACAACAATGGCAAAAGGGACACAAAAGCTGACATGAACAGAAATGCTGTGTGCCCAGGTGGTGGTTGGTGGTGTGCACCGTTGAGTCGGACCCTAATCTAGCGGAGTTTCAGAGACAGTCAACGAAAAGGGAGAAGACTTCCCACCTTTCTCCTGTGGAACAGCTAGTGGATTCAAACCACCTACCTTTGAATTGACAGCATAACACCTTACCACTAAGCCACCAGAGCTGAGGCCTGAAGAAGCAGCAGAAGTCTTAATAACGTGTGCACATCACACAGGAGCGAGAACTTAATAAATTATGACCTATCTTGGGAGGGACTGGAAAGCATTACGCTTGAGTGAACTAACTCGGTCCCATGAGGATAAATATTATATAAAACCGTTATTGTAGAACGAGTATGAGGATCCAGGAGGGGTGGGAGAGGCTGGAAGCAGAGGGAGGTGAATGTGCAGGAGGAAGAGGGGATTAATCATCGGGTTGTACAATTTGATGGGTGGAAAGGTAAGGGAAATGGAAAGAATTTGTACAAATTTGTGTTTGAATTTTGTAAACAAACTAGTAGAAATATTTAAAAAAAATAACATGTGCTCATCAGCGAAACAAGTGCCTCTGGAACCTGGTGGAGGAGATGCAGGTGAAGAGGGACCCCCCCACACCCCTGGCCTCCCTGAATTAATTGAAAACCCATGTATAGTCAGATGAGGGGCGTGCAGTGTGTACTATTCTAAAGGTGTGTCAATATCCAAGTAAATGAAAAGAAGCTAAATATTTTTTTTATCATAAAAACGGTCAGGCTTACTGGTCTGGTAGAGACTGGCAGACCCTTGAGCCTGGGTCCGAGCTTATCCCCACAGCTCAGTTTTCAGCCAAACACTGGATAGGCCTGTGAGGCGCTGCTCAGGTGTTCCCGGGCCTGGTGTTTCAGAAGTGCGCAGCCAGCTCTGCTGTTTGTCCTAAGTCTAGAAACTCCAGGTAAGGTCAAGAGCCTCCTTAAACTGCGAAAGAACAAGAATATAAATGTAAAGACTAAGGTGCATATGATCCAAGCCACAGTATTTTCAGCTGCTTCCTGTGCATCTGAAAGCTAAACAATGAATTAAAAAAGAATGATGAGAGAACTGGTGGCTTTGAATTGTGGTGTCAGTGAAGAGAACTGGGTCTCCTATCACCTGTCAACTGCATGGTTTAAAGTTAAGCAGGGAGTGTGTCAGGATTGTATTCTCTCTCCATACCTATTCAATCTGTATGTTGAGCAAATTGCTTGAGAAGTTGGACTCTATGAAGGGGAATGTGGCACCAGGATTGGAGGGAGACTCGTCGATAACCTGTGTTATGCAGATGACATAAGCTTGCTTGCTGAAAGTGAGAACTTGAAGCACTTGTTGCAGAAGATCAAGAAATGCAGCCTTCAGTATGGATTGCATCTCAATGTCAAGAAAACAAAGATTCTTACCACTGGACCGATAGACAACATCTTGATGGATGGAGAAGAGATTGAAACTGTCAACAATTTTATCTTACTTGGATCCCTTACAGTTAACACCCTTAGTATCAGCAGTCAGGAAATTAAGTAGATGCATTGCACTGGGAAAGTCTGCAGTTAGGGACCTCTGCAAATTATTGAGGTGAAAGGATGTCAGCTCAAGGACTAAGGTGTGTCTGATTCAGGCCATAGTCTTTCTGATCATGTGCTGTGCATCTGAGAGCTGGACAATGAATAAAGATGACAGAAGAAGAATTAATGCCTTTG